GGGGGAGTGACCCAGGAAGGCATCTGGCCAGCTGTCCTCAGTCTTACCTTTCTCTCCCCACCGTGCCTGGATCTGACCTGTGGTGTGGAACCACCCTGAGATGCCCCCTACCCCAGTGTGGCATCTGGAGCCCTAGCCTAATGGAAAGCCTGGGTTCTGGTCCCCAGTTTACTTCTGCCTTCCTGGGTGTCTTCGAGGTGGTGGTTTAACCTCTCTGAGCCTCAGTTTATCCTTCTGGGAATTGGGGATCCTCGAGACTGCCTTATCTCCCACTCCAGTTCCGGTGAGACTCCCAGGAGTGAGCAGATAAAGAGCGCTTTTGAAAAGTACAAAAAAGCTGTACTCACGACAATATGATTATTATTGTTACCTTGATGTGGAGATAAGGGATGGGAGGAGGCGCAGTGACAGTTGCCAAGAAACCCAGGAGCTGTCAGCAGTGGCTTCCGGCCTGGCCCATCCCACTCAGGGGACACCGGGCCCCTCCCCCACCCCCTTGCTGCGCCCTTTCCCTGGGAGAGATGGGTGCTCTGAGAGGGTGGGGAGCTGGGGCCAGCTGGCTGGCAGCCACACAGCTCCAGGGCCTGAAGGTGACCCTGGAATGTGCCTGGCCCAGATGCCAGGTTGGCTCAGGCTTTCTGTGTGACCTTGGGCAAGGTACCTCCTCTCTGGCTGCCACCCTTTTCTGTGTCCAGGTGTTCTGTACCTGTCAGCAAGTGTCCAGGCCAGACAGGAAAGGATTAGAGCTGGACCTGGAAGATGCTTGGCGGTGGCTGCAGGAGCGGGGGAGAGCTGCCATGGGGAGGCCACTGGGGGCCAAGGCTAGGTGACAGGGCTGAGGTCCTGGGTTGAGAGCAGCTGTGATGTGTGTAGGAGAAGAACCTGGAGCTGGAGTAAACCTCTGTTCTGCCCTTTCCCTGCTGTGACGGTGGACTTGTCACTTAACCTCTCTGAACCTCAGTTTTCTTGTCTGGAAAAAAAGTGGATAATATCCAGCCTCACAAAGCTGCTGTGGCGATCGGATGAGACACTAGACTGTAGAGTGCTAGGCAGCTATGACTTTGGTCATGGCAGGGGGAAAGGAAAAGGGCCAGATCCCCGAGTCCCAGCATGCTCCAGGTACCTCCCAGCGGCTGCGTGTGCAGAGAGAATGCAAAGCATGTTTTAAAAATATTTTTTATTTTTAAGTAATCTCCACACCCAAAATGGGGCTCGAACTCACAACCTGGAGATCATGAGTTACATGGTCCACCGACTGAGCCAGCCAGGTGCCCCAGAATGCCAAGCATTTTAAGCTGAGCCAGACCATTGGGTCAGGTAGGTTTTCAGAGAAGCAGAGAGGGGCAGATCCATGTAAACAGAGTGGTGGAGACCAGAAGGAAGGTTCAAGTTCAAGAGAGGGAGGAAAGTGGCCAAGTTGGGGGAGGTCCAGGGAAGGCAGAGGCAGAAGGGGAATGGAGGGTGGCTAGAAAGATGGGGATGAGATGAGTGTGAGGTGAGGGAGGCTGAGAGGGGTGGGGAGGCCTGGGGAGGGAGGGAGGGAGGTGACAGGCTGAATTTATTCATCCCTTCCAGATTATTTATTGAGCAACTAGTATCTACTCATAGTCAGTATAGTGTAGCATTAGGGGACAGCACCTAGACCTGGATGGCTGAGGGTTCAAATTCTCTGTATTTCACTTAGTGTCAGCGTGACCTTGGACAAGTTGCTGGACCTCTCTGTGTCTTAGTGCCCTCCTTTGAAAGAAGGGTGTTCAGTGAGTGAATCCAAGCAAAGCAGTTAGAACAGAGCCTGCCCGGGGCATGTCCGGTATCAATCAGCCTTGGCTGTCCTTGCTGTTGCTGTTTTCATTACCTCTCATATGGCACCTGCGAGGTCTGCCTGTGCTATGAAGTTCAGATCTTGGGCTCCAGAGTGACAAACCTGGATTCCAGTGCTTGCTCTGCCTCAATCACTGTGTGACCTGGGGCAAGTTAACATACCTTTCTGAGCTCAGTTCCCTTGTGTTTAAAAAGCAGGCAGTTTTGGGGGCGCCTGGTGGCTCAGTCGGTGAAGCATCTGACTCCAGCTCAGGTCATGATCTCACAGTTCATGGGTTCAAGCCCTGCGTCAGGCTCTGTGCTGAGAGCTCAGAGCCTGGAGCCTGCTTTGGGTTCTGTGTCTCCCTCTCTCTGTCCCTCCCCTGCTCGTGCTCTGTCTCTCTCTCTGCCTCTCTCTCTCTCTCTCTCTCTCTCAAGAATAAATAAATGTTAAAAAAATAAAAAATAAATAAAGCAGGCGGTTTATGAGCACCTGCCTCACTGGGTTGGTGGGTTGATTAAGTGAAATCATACAAGGCACAGGTAGGCTGTGACTTTTGTTATTACTGTCATGCTCTTCCCTCGGGGCTGGGATGGATGGGGGCAGACAGGGCCCAGAGCCTCCAATTCCTGCTCTGTCCCCATTGTGGAGCCCCTCCCTTCCCCTGCCCTTTAGGGCCTCAGCACTGACCTTATAGGTGGAGGAGTTGCCTGGCGGGGGGTGGGGTGCTGGGTACTGCCTGTGAGGGGCCTACTCTATCCAGCCAGGAACTAGGGAGTTGAGGGCCTTATGGCAGGGTCCCCGATGGAAGCCAGACCGCCCCCTGGTCTTGAGACCTGCCTCGTCCTGCGCCCTGTGCAAGACGGGTACATGGCCACGGGGAAGCTCGGACTGAGAGGATTCTGGAAGGGGAGCGTGTCAGGGAGCTGTTGCCAGACCAAACTGCAGTGGCCACAGTCTGAGCCTGGGGGCCTCAGAGGGGCAGGCAGAACACCACCCATATAGCTCGATCATAGGTGACACCCTCTCTGGGCAGCCGGGGCCACACCAGCACTACTGTCCCCATGTCCCCACCACGAAGAGGACCCAGCACTTCCTGGTCCCTGGGCAGCCTCTGCTTTCTACCCCGCTGGCACTGGCCTTACTCAGTCAAGGGCGTGGGCTTTAAATTCTGGCTCTGTCACCCATTTGCTACATGAAGTGGCTTCATCTCTCTGACCGTCAGTTTCTCCATCTATAAAAATAGGGATAAATGACGCCAATCTGCCAGCACTGTCGTGAGGGTATAAAATGCTTGATATAGTTCTAGGCACATGACCCAGGTCTTGACAAAGAGTCCCCCCAGTAACCTCGGTGGAATTTGCCTGGACCATTTCTGTGGGCCCCTCTCTACTCCCCCAGCTCCAGTCTCTTCCCAGGTCAGCATACCTGGCAAACTACAGGGACCTAAGTACAGGTGATTCCCTAGCTCACACACCTCCAGTGGCTCCCTACTGCGAACCTTCATTCAGTCACTGATTCCTTGAATCATTAATCCATTCAACAAATACCTAAAGAGACCTAACTGGGGGAGCCAGAGTTTACCATGAATGAATGAATGCCAAAGAATTCATTGAGTAAATGCCAGCTAGCTACCCAGGCTCTATGATGAAATTTTTTGGAAGCAGAGGCTAGGAGGGGTGTGTCACTGACTCAAGGTCACACAATAGGTAAGTGCTTGGGAATATGTTCTTCATAGTGAGGCCATGGCTTGAAATGCCACTGCCACCATATCTCGTTTTCTGGGTCAAGTGCACTGCTTAGTGTAGGCCCCACTTTTAAGACGCCAGCAGCCCGAGAGGCGGAGAGGCATCTGGTGCCTGCAGCCGGGCTGTGGAGGCGGATGGCTCCTCTCGGCTGCCTGTTCTAAACAGAGAGGCTGGGCTGAGGGGAGTGCGAAGGGGCGCTCAGGGGGTCCTTGGGGTCTCCTCCCTGGGCCAGTTTCCTGCACGCCCTCCACCTTTCAGGGCGTGGCAGTCCAGACTGCCTGACTCAAGCCCGCTGCTGTGGGCCGAGGAGGATCCTTTGGCAGCCTGAATGACTCACCCTCTCAGGACCAGCCTCAGTTGATGGGACCGGGGTGGGGTTGCAGCCACGTCAGGGTGGCCCTGGGCAGCAGGCAGAAGCCAGGCCTGCTCGCCCAGCCCTGAGCTCCCTGGGTCCCAGGAGCCACTGGGCACTTCCTCTCCCTGACCCCAGAGGTGGCCTCCTCCGCAGCTTTCTGGGGTGACAGGAGCTGACTTTGCCTTCTTCAGACCTACTTCCTTTCCTCAGGGAGGGGTGTGGGTGTGGGCAAAGAGGCTGGGCTTGGAGTCAGGCCTCACTCCGAGGCTGGCTCTGCCCCTGACCAGCTGTATGACCTCTGCATGCCTCTGGGTCCTCCTCTGTTAAATGAGAATACCAGTGTGGTGAGGAGTCTGTGCCCTCAGGCCTGGAAAGAGGCGCTTGGCGCAGGGGCTGGCACATAGTAGGTACAGTGGGTGTCACTGTTACTATTGTCATTAAGAGTAGCAGTCGCCAGGAGCTCCTGGGTGGCTCAGTCCCTTAAGCGTCCGACTTCAGCTCAGGTCATGATCTCACAGTTCATGGGTTCAAGTCCCGCATCAGGCTCTGCGCTGACAGCTCAGAGCCTGGAGCCTGCTTCAGATTCTGTGTCTTCCTCTCTTCCTCTCCCCACTCATGCTTGTCTCTCTCTCAAAAATAATAACACATTAAAAAATTAAAAAAAAAAAAAGAATAGCAGGCGCCCAAGTGTCCACTCAGCCCTAAGGCTGTCTCTCTCTGAAGGCTCAGGAAGGGGTCTCTAGTGACCTCCCTGCTTAGTACAGAGGTCAGGATTCAGCCCTTTATAGCAACCCTCAGTGCGCCTGCCTCAGTTTACCCATCTTCAGAATGGGCTGTGGACATCCTCTTGACAGGAGTATGCGTTGGGCAGGCCTAAGGAAGACCTTGGAGAGAGCCCCGTCCACATCTCTGATCTCTGGGGACGGAGAGCCTGTTTGGCAACCCTGCTCCAGAAGCCCCTCCTCTCCCTCCTCCTGGGGAACCCATGACCGCCACGAAACCCGTCCCCCAACTCTGGGAGCGATTCTTCCTCTCACAGGTCACAAACCTCCCAGCCTGGAGCTCTCCTTGACCACAGACCCCTTCTTTCTTCCAGGAGGAGTGATGGGCAGAACCAGCGCTTCCCTCAGGCACTAGACCTGCCACGAGTGGACTTCGTCCCCTCCCACGCTGCTTCACTCCACCCCAAGGTAAGTGCCACGCCCCCCCACCCCCTCACCCCCTCACCCCCCCACTCCCCCCACCCCCCACGTGCCTGGGCTGGAGACCCTGGGGCTGATAGACAATGAAGAGTGACTACCGGACAGCGGACAGCGGTAAAATGTTCAGGCAGATGCTGCTTGAGGCTTAGCTCCCCGAGGGGACACCGCGCCTCACCCTTGAGCGCGCTGCACCGCAGTCTATAGCCCTGCTGGGGAGGGGGCAGGACGGCTGAGAACTAAGTGGCCAAACCAGCTGTTCTTCATCACCTTTATCATCAGCCTCCCCATCAGCTTCCCTGTCTGTAAGCCCAGAATAACGATAGCCTCATTCAATGAAAAAGTGCCCATAAAACATGCCACGCATGATGTCTGGCACAGGGAAAGGCCCCTGTGAGTGAGATCGTCAACAACAAACGTGTTTGCCCCCAGCACTTGATTTGTGTCCGACTTTGTGCTGGGCGCTGAGGGGCTAGAAATCAGTGGACACAGACCCTGCCCTCAGGGAACCATCATCCAGGTAAGAGGTAAGTAACTGAACAACTTACGGAGAACACCAATAACAACCACTAGCATTTACTGAGAGTTACCATGTGCCAGAGGGGTACCTAATGGTTTATAGGCAGTATTTCATTTCATCCTCAAACTGGACGTGCTATGTGATAGCTGCTACTATTGGTCTTGTTTCATGGATGAGGAAAATCAAGGCTCAGAGAAGTTAAGTTACTTGCTCAAAGACACACAGGTAGGGTATGATGGGGCTGGGACCAGAACTCGGGCTGTGTGACCAGAGTGCCTGGCTTTGTGGCCTCCCTGATGCAGAAGGAAACGAGCCCTTGCTTTTGCAGTATACTTGATGGTTTCTAAAGCATGATATCATCATGCCTCTTGGTCATCACCTCAACCCTTGGAGGGCGGGCATTCTCCAGATGAGGAGCCAGATGCTCAGAGAGGTTTTCCCAAGGTCACACAGCCAGGAAATAGCAAGCACGGGGCCTGCCAAGCTCTTCTCCCCCATGCTGGCCTGGAATAAGGGCCATGTACCTTTCCTCGGCCAGGAAGGCAGATGGCCAGGGACTGGAATCCTTGTGGGGTTCCATCGCTTCCAAGGGGGTTCCTGGGGCAACATCAGGGGGCTCCAGAGAGCATCTCCTGCTCCCTGTGCCTGGGCAAAAGCCCAAGATGGAGCCGTGTGGATCCTGGGACTTTGCAGGAAGGGAGCAACTCAATGGCACTGGGTTCATGAGTGAGGCCCCCGAGTCTCTCTCTCCCTAAGCATTTAGGAAGAGGCCTTGATTCTCACCAAGGGCTGTGTGCCCTTAGACCATAGCTTCCCCTCTCTGGGCCTCAGTTTATCTATCAGGAAAATGAGGGTTGGAACAACCCATCGCCCTGAGTCCTGCCTGCTCAGGCAGCCTGGGGCTGGCTTTCGTGGATTAGCTCTGAGCCACCTCCCCTCAGGCTTCCTGGCCTCCACCCAGCTGGCCAGAAGCCTCCATTTGTGCCAGCGCAGCCCAGACAGCGGGCTCCAAACCTCTCCCATCCTGACAGCCCACCCCTACTTCAGAATTAAGACACCCTCTGTGGGTCACCCTCCTTTGATGGAGGTGGGGGTGGGGGGGTGGAGAAATTGGATGCAGAGAGAGTGAGGGATCCCCCTGAATGCCCAGCAAAGTGGTGGTGTGGCTAAGGGGACTCGAGCCAGTAACACAATCTTCATGCCCCTCCTTCGGCACCCCTAAGTCTGCAAACACTCATCACGTTGATGGAGCCAGTCTGAGGGGCAAGTGACCCCCCTGTGCCAAGGGTAAGTCCCTGCCCCTCCCTGAGCCTCAGATTCCTCATCTGTAAAACAGACATGACAGCTCCTTCTCTACTCACCTTGTCAGCGTGCAGCTGGGTGATGACCGTGAAAGTAACTTTGGAAAGTGGAAATCAGGCAGCTGAACTGCACCAGCAATGTCACATTCCCAGGGCAGGACAGAACACCCAGAAGGGACACTCCCCTCTCACTGGAAACCCACATTTGTACACACACTGAGCTCTTCAGGGCCTTCCTGCCTGCCGCCCCCCCCACCGACCCCGCCCAGGAGTTCAGAAATCTGCACCCACATTCGCGCACGGTCCTCCTACCCCTGTGTCTGTGGACAAGTTCACGTGTCTGCAAACGTATTCAGAGACTTGCACATGTACACATGCATATGTATACAGATACACATGTACAAACACAAGTACAGACATCTGTGACGTCCATGCACATACCGCCACATCTGGTCTGAGAGTCACACTCACACACACACACACACACACACACACACACACACACAGAGCTGCATGCGCACTGTGTACGTTCTCCACTCCGCCGGTCACACGGACATCTCCAGTGATATGAGCAAGTCTCACCTCCTCCCAGCGTGGGAATGGATGCTTCTCTGGCTGCATTTCGACGGGTGCCCGGAAGTGCTCAGGCCTGGAAGTGCCTGTGTAAATCAATATTTGCTGCTGTTAATTATTAAAAACAAAGCCACACCGTGTCTGGAACACACATCTCCAGAGTTCCCGCCGGCTCCCGGGGCTCCAGCCTGACCCAGGGCCAGGTCTGGAGGAGAGAAAGGTCCCGTGCCTTCCTTCCAGGAGCTCTTGCCTGGAGATGGAGGCTGGTGGGCAGCTGTTGGCAGCCCTGCAGGAGGCTGGAAAGAGATTGTGCACTGAGCTGGGGGGCAGCCTTGCCCTTGCAGGGTCCAAAGCAGCACATGTTGACTTGGCCACAGCTCAGGAAGCAATTGCTGCTTTCCCGGTATGTGTGGGGAAGGGGTGCCGAGGCCCTGGCCCCCCACTGTACAGTGGCAGACACAATGCAGGGTCCGCTGGAAGGGCCTGCAGAGGTGGGAACTCTGAGCACCTTCTAGTTTACAGATGGGGAGACTGAAGCCTACAGAGGTGACAGGGACTCACTCAAGTCCACTCAGCAAGTTGTGGCAAGGCCCGTGCTGGAACCCTCATGTCCTGAAGTGCATGCTGTACCACGGGGCGGGGGAGTGTCAGTCCCTGTTCCCTCCCTCCCCTAGGATCAGGGGCTATTAGGATCCCGTGTGGGCATGGGAACCGGGGAAGGAAGGGAACAGGCCAGCCACTGTCAGGCATTAGGGGGTGAGGGGAGATGAAGAGGGAGGGGACAGCAGCTCCAGCCCTTTCCCTGGATTCCCAGTTCTGCCCTTCCCTAGCTCTGTGAACCTGGACATATTTCACCTCTTGGAATCAGTCTTCCATTCCGTAAAATGGGGATGATACTCGTACCTCCCGGATTGTGGGGAGAGGTCATCCTCGCTAAGAGTCCAACATTAGGTAGGTGCTCAAGGAAAGTCTTCTGTCTATGAAGTAACCCTGTCTCTTCTTCCTGCCCGGCTTCACAGCCATCCCCCGTCCTTGAGGCCCTGAGGCAGGGCACCCAGAGTGTGGGAAGACAAAGAAGGTGGAGAAGGGGCGCACCGAGCAGACCCTCGGGTCTCCTTAGGGCCCCACGCGCCAAAAAGCTTACAGCGCGCCGGCGAGAGCGCGCAGGCGCAATGTCTGAGGACCGCGGGCCGGGCCGCAAGGAGGGGGGAGCGGCGGGGTGGGGGTGGGGGCTCCTAGGTCCCCGCCCCGGATCTCAGAAGCCCCGCCCCCGCGACGCCTGTACCTGGCGCCCCGCCCCCTCCGGGCCCGGCGGTCCCGCGAGCCCAGCGCAGGCAGCGCGCCGCCGGGATCCCGGAGCGGGGAGCTCGGAGCTCGGCGCTGCGGGGCCCGGGCCGGGGCGCGCGCGGGCGGGAGCCGCCCGGGCCAGCCGAAGCGCCGCCGGGGCGGGGGCCGGGCCGGGCCAGGCTCGGGATGGCGCAGCCGCGGCCCCTGGCGCCCCCCGGCCGTCCGCGGAGGGGCTCGCTGCCCGCTGGGGCCGGCTGGCAGGTGAGGACCAGAGCGAGGGCGGCCTGGCGGAGGGGGTCCGCGGAGCCGGCTCAGCCCGACCTTCCCGGAGCCGGGCAGGCTCTGCCCCAGCCGGGGCGGGTGTGCGAGGCTCCGTCATGGAGGGTGTGTTAGCTTCTGGGCTGACACCCGGCCACAGCGGCCACAGGGCGCAGCCCTGCCCTGGGGTCCCGGGCCTTGGGCTCTTTCTGCAGCTGCCCCTCCGAATCAGAGTGCCCGTGGTGACACCATGGCTCAGGGCCAAAGTGGCACTGTGCGTGCGAGAGTCCGTGTGTCTGTTAGTCTCAGGGACCACTTCACCGCCCCCTGCCCCCTTTAGGAGGGGTCTGAATGTCGCGGTGTAACTTTGCCTGGTGCTCTGGGCCACTTCGCCCACAGTCTTCCATGTGTCAGGGTGTCTGCTGCGCTTATGAGGCTGTTAACTGTGTCACTTGTTGCTGCGGGTGCTCTCCGGGTGACAGTACCATGTGTCAGTGTTTATATGGCTGTGACTTCCGAGGCATTGTTCCTGGCCATCGTTCCCTTAGGTCACCCTGAATGGGGTGCTCTGGAGGACATTAATGCGCCCACATCACTGTCACGCTGGGACTGTGCCGGGCTGAGGTTGTGTGACCCAGGCATAGATGCCGACATTGCTGTCGTACAGGGTGATAACAGGCGGATTTGTCTACCTGGACTGCAGGCGTGCGACAGTGGTGTCTGCTGTAGCTGCCTATGGAATTGGCTCTTCTGAGCTCCGAGTGTTGGGTGTGTCCAGAGGTGACCGTGGCCATAGGTGACCGTAGGTCGGTCTCCTCTGGTCTCTTGTAGTGCAATTTACAGTGTGGGGTTTGGCTCTGTGGGCAGGCCTTCGAGTGTGCACATGGGGTGTTTGTGTCCCAGGATCTGTAAGCTGGGTGGGGTGCACTCACATGGATGTGAGGGGGCATGTGTGAGGGTCAGACCTGTGCCCCTCATCCTTGCTGATCAGCCACTTCCATGGCTGCTGCGTGCTTTGTTTTTTCTTTCTTAAAAAAACTCACGTACTGTTGTGGCATCAGGTCTGTCATGTCTGTTACCAGGCTGTGTGGCTGATGGGGAAAGGTGAGCTTGTGTGTGCGAGCGAGGCTCTGGGGCTAAGTTTCTGTGAACACAGCTGCCTCTGTCTGCGAGCCTGTGCTATTGTGTCTCCCGGCGCACAGATGTGAGCGTGGTGTTTGTGCAGCTCCGTGTTCAATTACTGGTATGCACATTTGCACAGGGCTGGGCTTGCATCTATGTGTGTGGCTTTGTGGTACCTGGGTCTGTGTGCGTGCGCCTTTGTGTAATTTAGGACACTGACATGTGTATTTGTTAGCCTGTGGGTCTGAAGCTCAGAATCGTGTGCACAGACCCCCTCGGTTTGGGGGGGGGGGGGTGTTAATGTGTGTTTGCTTTCGTTGGTACAGGGAGAGTGTGTTTAAACATTGGTGTACAAGGCTGTGTGTGTTTCAACGAGAGAGAGAATGTGTTTTCCTGGTGCACAACCCCTAGCACGTGTGTGAGCTCAGCCGGTGCCCCCACAGGGCCGCAGGAGCCAAATGAGTTGAGGCCTTGGAAGTGCTGGGGGAGGGGCGCTGTCCTGGAGACCCTGGGGGCTTCCCAGGCCCAACCCCCAGCCCCACCAGCAGGCACGGATGCTGCCTTCCAGGAAGGCTTGTAGGGAGTTGGCGCTGGAGAGCCCGAAGCTGCCAAGCACGGCCGGCCGATGCCCGGATTAACCCTGTGTGTGCCACTGGCTGGCACTGGGAGAGCCTGGCTGGGCGGGAGGGGTGAGGGGGGCCTGCGGACTCACACAGCTGTTGGGCCAATGGGACATCCCAGTGCTGTCTCCCCTGACAGCGCCCCCAGCCCATACTGCTTACAGGGCCAGGGGACCCTCTTCCAGGAGAGATGGATGGAAGCACAGACCCCCCTGAGGACCCCAGCTGTCTCATCTCTGGGGCTGGCACCTGGGATTCTCGGCCGACCCTGGCACTGCCAAACTTGGGGTGATGTGGGGGAGTTGTGTCTCTCCCTGAGGGTCACATCTGTCTAATCTCCTTACTCTGGGAAGGGGACCGAGTGAGGTGGGCTGCCTAGGGAGGGCCCTGGGCTGGCTTCACTGAGCAGTTGGTCAAGGCCTGCTGGTCAGCCGCACGGAGCTCCCTTCTGCAGTGCCCTTTCCACTCCCTCTTGCCGCTTGGACAGGCACACAGTGGTTGGTCAGAGTTGGGGGAACCAGGAGGGCAGGGGTGGGTGGAGACTCCTCGGGGGCTTAGCAGGGGGGGCTGGGCCACCTGAGGACTGACCTGGCCTCCCCCATCTCTGTTGCAGAGCACAGATCTGTTTGACATGATTGAGAAGATGCAGGTGAGGTTGGCTGTGTCCCCCGTTTCGGGGAGCCAAGGTGGGGGTGTGGGCTGGGGTGAGGTGCCCTAGCTATATCTCCAGCCATACAGCCTCTCTGAGGACGGGCCAGGAGCCCTAGGCAGACTGTGCTGGGAGGAGATGGCGGCAGTGCATTTCCAGAGCCATCGGTGTGGGGGTCAGAGTCGAGGACTGGGACTGGCTGTGCTAACTCCCTGTCAGACCCAAGGGCCCAGGCCCCACTCATGTCCCCCCTGCTCCCATTCCTGTGTGGGTCCCCAGCAGGGCTGGGCTCAGTGCCTCATCCCCCCCCCACACACCCACACACACATCCACAAACACACACTCATGCTGCATGCACACATGCACTCGCGCACACCCACACACACCCAAACACACACACCCCAACCCCCACCCACACACCCACATGCTTGCATACATGCACACACATTTCCCATCCCCCTGAGAGGCATCGCAGGCGCTACAGGATGCCCATGTAGAATGGGAGGAGGGACAGGTGCCAGGCCACAGGGTGACCAGAGGCTGTGCCACAGGCAGGGGGAGGTGCCCCACCCCCTCGACCTGACCCCTGCCCACCTTCCACGCCCAGCCCTGGTCTTCCCAGGCCTTTGTCTGGTGCATGGGTACATGTTGGGAGGTGGGTGGGGGTAGGGAGGCAACTTGAACAAACCTCAGGAGCCCCCCCACCCCGTGTCAGTTCACCATCCGGACCCTCTCTTCTGCCCCTTCCTGTTTCTCTGCCTGCGTCTTGTAGTTTTTCTGTCTCCCCCTCTCCTTTTTTCCTTCTCTCTCTCAAAAGCACACATCTGTGTAAATAAATTTAAAAATCACACATCTATGTAGATGCAATGGCCTCCAGCCCACACTCACACATCAGTGTGTGCCCCCCCCGCCCCCACCCCTGCCCGCAGCCCCAGCGGCATACTGTCCCGCACAGAGCCTCTAGCCCTCCCTGCAGAAACCTGAGTAACTGAGCCGGCCAGCACCCTGCACTGGGAGTACCCCACGCGGCTGGGCTTCCCCCTTCGCAGGAAGGGATAGGAGCCTCCCATATGAGCTGGCAACAGGCATGGGGGGGCGGGGTGTAACGGGGCACGTTCCCTTCTCTTTGCAGGGAAGCAGGATGGATGAACAGCGATGCTCCTTCCCACCACCCCTCAAAGTAGGTCGGAGCCGCAGCCCCCCCTCCCTTCTGTGGCCGGCTGCCTCTGCTATTTTCCGAGCAGCCTCTCCAGAGGCCTAGGCACCTGGAGGGGTTGGGGAGACCCTCTTGCCAGTCGTGATCAGCAGTTACAGGAAGACTCAAACCCAGGACCCAGGAGGCTTCTGCCTGGAAGGCAGCGGGGCCGGGGGGTGGGGGTGGGGGGGAGGAGGCAATGGGAGGAGTGGCCTAGTTGCCCCCCAGCCTCCACTGTGAGGAGACTGACAGGAGGCGGGGGATGGAGGGAGGTGCAGGGAGGCCCTCGTTTAGACTCAGGATTTTCTTGGGTTGGGAGTTGCACACCCCCTCCAGACAGGCTTATGGTTCTGTGGTGGATTTGGGATCTCAACAATCCAAGAAGACTGGCAGCTGGCCTGGGGGTAGGGGGGACGGGGGGCACCCAGGGCTTCAAGGTGAGGGTTGAAGGGGGGCTCGTGAGCATATGGCTGATACTCTGTCCAGAGCAGGGGATCTCAAAGGGCGCTCCTCAGAACAGCAGCAAGAGCATTACCTGGGAGCTTGTTAGAATGTAAATCCCTGGGCCCCACCCAGACCCTAGGAAACTGGGGATGGGGCACGGCAGTGTGTGTCTAAGGAGCCCTCAAGGCCATTCTGATGCACTGAGGACCACTGGTCCCCAGCTTTCTTCTGGGGAGGCAGTGAGCCTCCTTTTCCTCAGGCAGAAGGAGACCCAGAGGAGACTGGCAGCACTCAAGGAGCTGAGCTTGCCTCAGCCCCAGCCTCATGGGGTCACCCCCTGGTAAGCACTGGGGAGATGACACAGCCCCAGCCGCACTCCCGGCCCAGGTGGCTGGCTGAGCAGCGGAGCATTCTGGGGAGGCTGGAAGTAAGTAAGGGGTGAGGACCGCCCCCCCCCCCCCCAGCTGGGTCTCTGCCCTGCTTGTGTTTTGTAGACGGAGGAGGACTACATTCCCTACCCGAGCGTCCATGAGGTAACTGGCCCGACCCCCTGAGCCCCTCTTCGCCCCGAGTCTGGACTCTCAGGTCCTCTTCCCTGCCAGGAGCCTGACCAGAGCCTCGCTATGGGCACTGGGGCCTCAGTTTACTGGCCCCGGTCTTTAGAGTCCATGCGAACCCTTAGACTTTTAATCTGGACATTTCATCCTCTTGACCAAGGTCATTCTCCCGGCTCCACCTTCCAGAACCAAGTCCCCATTCTTGGAGACTGGAACATGGGGTTCTATGTGGCCCGGGCCTGTGCCTGCAATAGGAGGGAAGGGCTGCAGCAAGTGCGCTGGAGCGGGTAGATGCAAGCCCTGGGGTCCATATGGGCTCGGGGCTGCTCCCTAGTGCTCCTTAGCCGTGGCAGAAGTGACCCTGGGTCTGAGTTGGGCGGTGTCCTGGGGCCCTGGTGGGGTGCAGTGTGGGTGGCTCTCAGCTGAGTTCTCTTTCAGGTTCTGGGGCGAGAAGGGCCTTTCCCCCTCATCCTGCTGCCCCAGTTCGGGGGCTACTGGATTGAAGGCACCAACCACGAAATCACCAGCATCCCAGAGACGGAGCCGCTGCAGTCACCCACGACCAAAGTGAAGCTCGAGTGCAACCCCACAGCCCGCATCTACCGGAAGCACTTTCTTGGCAAGGTGGGTGGCCCGCCGGTGTTGGGGGCTGGGCCCAGGAGGGAGCCATGGTCTGGGGCAGGGTGGCCATCCCTGAGGCCCACGTCTGGAAACATTTGAGGAGGATTTACACTTTCATTCAACAAACTTTTGTCGCAAAAACGGCAGTGTTATGACATAGTGGTTAACATCAGAGACTACTGTGGCAGGATTCCGGCTCTGTAGCTTGCTACAGGGGACTTCGGGCAAGTCACTTCCCCTCCCTGTGCCTCTGTTTCCTCATCTGTAAAAACAGAGAAGGTGATGACACCCAACCTCATGAGGATGCTGCAAAGCTTTAATGAGAACGATGCTTGTAAGGGATTTAGAATGGTGTCCAGCCAAAAGTGAGTGCTCAGTCAAGGTTAGGAAAGAATGAGCACCAGCTGTGTGCCCAGCCCCGTTCCAGGCACCAGGAGGGCAGCAGCAAAGAAAACTGACCCGGCCCCTGCTGCCCTCAGGTAGCGTGAGGTCAGGGCTGGGAGATTGGTGTAGTGTCCTGGCCTGACCTGGCTTGGCACAAACCCCTGCCCCATCTCCAGCCCCAGAGCAAGGATCCTGCCCAGTAACATCCAATCAGAGTGTCACCCTGCAGTGCTCCAGGCAAGAGTTACGGGGTGAGATTGTGGTAGCTGGAGGGAAGGTCACATGCTGGGATCTAGCACGTGCCAGGCCCCAGGCCAGGTGCTATATCTCTGTCCGTGTCCCGCCGAGGTGGGGGAGTGGGGTGTGGGAGTGTATCTTGGCTCTTCCATTTATTGATGGTGTGACCTTGGGCAAGTGATTTGACCTTCCTGAGCCAGTCTCCTCATCTGTAAAAATGGGGATAATAAAAATACATGTAAAGCATAGAGAACCAAGCCAGGCACGTAGTAAGCACTTAATTTAGCTGTTAAGACATTCTCATAATTTGCGAGATCAGGATTGCCCTAGTTTTTACAGAAGAGGAAACTGAGGCTCATTGAGGTAAAGTGTCTAGGTCAAGGTCACACAATTACTGAGCCAGGAATTGGACCTAGCTCCGGCTGACCTTCCATTAAGACATGCCAAGAGGGTTCATGGTCCTGGCTCAGAGGACTCGAGAGTGTAGCCCTCTTTGCCAAGCGCCTGGCGCTCCCTCTCTGCGGATGGTGCCAAGCATCTGGGGGTTTCCGCCACTCTGTCCCCAGGCAGGGCTGAGGGGGGCTCTCAGCTTCAGGCCCACTCACACTATCCCCGAGCTGTGGATTTGTGGGGCACATCCCTGCCCATGTCCCCTTCTCACCCTGCCCTCTGAGCACAGGTGTTCACGTTTCAACAGGACTGACTTCCAGGATGACTCCTAGGGTGTGGCTCCGGGGCCAGGGCCAGCAGGGGGAGCCCAGGGCCGGGCGGGGTGGAGTATCCCGGCACTCCTGGCCTGCCCTTGACTTGAGGACTTCCCCCTCTGGAGGTGCCAGCCCTGGGCTCCTCTCTGGGGTACCATTCCTGCCACAGCTTCCCCTCAGGCCTTCTGTAATATTTCTTCCCAACCCTATGGGTTCTCCAGGTGAGGCAGGAGGGTGGGAACCTGTCCAGTGAGCCACCCAGTGTGTTCCTGAGATGTTTCACTTCCTGTTTCTCACGGGCCCTGGCTTCAGGGGCCAGAGAGCCACAAATTGAGCAATCAATCAGAATATTTTTATTGAGCACCTACTGCATGCCCAGCTCTGAGAAGGGCAAGGGCTGGAAGACAGAGAAGCAGGTAGAGATGTGATCCTGACTTTGATGAGGGCCCCGACAGCCAAAGTAACTTACATTCATTGAACACCTACTCTATGCTGGACTGTTTATCTCCTTCAGTCCCTGCCACCGTCCCACTAGGTAGTTGGCCTCCCGTTTTACAGAGCGGGAAACTGAGGCACAGATAGGTGAGGTGACCTTCTCAGGCTCCCCAGCTGGCAAGTGGCAAAGGGGGATTTGAATGCAAGTTTGCCTGATGCAGAGCCTGCCTTCAGCCATGACACCGGCTGCTTGGGGGAGGCCCCCCATCTGGGAGTGAGCTGGCTCTCTGGTCTGGTTTCTGGAAGCCCCAAGCTCAACTCTGCCCTCTCTCCGGCCCCCACCTCCCACCACAGGAGCATTTCAATTACTACTCACTGGACACTGCCCTGGGCCACCTTGTGTTTTCACTCAAGTACGAGGTCATCGGGGACCAGGAGCACCTGCGGCTGCTGCTCAGGTGAGGGTGGGGTGAGGGGCCCTGTGACAGCAGCGGGGGCTGAGGTCTTGTCTAAAAGCCCACTCTTCTAAGCAAGGCCCAGAGAGGGCAGGGAATTGCCTGAGGCTGCTCAGCACGTTAGCACCCCAACCAGGCCTGGCACCGTCAGTCAGCTCTGGTGCTCCCCAGGGTGTGTCCCCTCCGCCCTTATTTTGTGTGGAGGGTCTTCCATCTCTCTTTCCTGCTGCCTCGCCCCTGAGCGTGGGTTTTCTCCTCCCAGGACCAAGTGCCGGACACACCATGATGTCATCCCCATCTCCTGCCTCACTGAGTTCCCCAATGTGGTTCAGATGGCAAAGGTGAGGCCTCTTTGGGCACCCGAGGTGGGCACACCGCTGGCGCACTGCCATCTTTAGCCCCACGTCCCAGCCCCGCGTGCTGCAGCCCTGTCTCCCAGGCCCCACCTCTCATGTGCCCCATGACGCTGGCATGCTGCCGGGCTCCTGTCCCCTGCCCAGGTACTTCGGGGTCACTTGAGAGCACCTTCAGATACAGAGGACCCCATTCTGAGCAACAGTGAGCCCCGAGTCCTGCTGCAAACTCCGTTGTTCTTCTCGTTTCTGCTGCTGTCCTCTCCAGCCGGTGTGGCCCGTGGCTAGTGGCCAGGGAGGCCCCGAGGCCCCACCCTCAGCCCCTCCCTTCTCTCTTCCTGCAGCTGGTGTGTGAAGATGTGAATGTGGATCGATTCTACCCTGTGCTCTACCCCAAGGTATGGCAGCATCTGGGCCCTGCTCACTGGGGTGGGTAGGGAACTAGGGAACTGAGCGTTTATTGGGCACCTGTTGTGGGCCAGGTGTCTCCCCTAAGTTCTCCCATTTAACCCCGACAACAACCGTGCAAAGTGTACAGTTTGCAGAAGAGGAAGCAGAGGCCCAGAGCTGTTCTGTGTCTTACCTGGAGATGCACAGCAGATAAAGGAGGCCTGCCTTCAAACTTGGCATTGTCCGCCTCGTAGGCAAGCCTTACTCCTGGGAGCTCTCGGTGCCATTTGGGGACCAGTGTTCCTGCGCCAGGGGACTCCACTGGCCTTGCCTTCTGACCCGAGGGGACCAGGGGAGGGGAATAACACAGGCACCTCTGTAAGTGCTGCCCCACAGACAGCAGCCGCGCTGCTGGCTCTCGTGCTGGGTTTGAGGCACTGTGACCCTGAGGGGAAGGGATTGGGCTTGTCTTCAGTGAGTCGGGGTGCTTCCTGGAAAAGGTGGCCCCGAAAGACATGCAAGCTCTTGTGACTCTGACTGAATTCTGGAGTGAGGGAGAGGGGTGGTGTGGTCCAGGAAAGGTCCCCCAAAGGAAGGGGCCTCAGAAATCAGATGCTACCTCTCGGGTACAAAAGAGGAAGCTGAGGCCCAAGGTGAGGGAGGGAGTTACTTCTTAAGGCTCCACACAAGTGGGTGGGACTTGGCTCATTCTAGAACGATACTGTGGATTTACAGAGGAAAAACGGAATGGGTCGGGTGTTACAGAATGGAATAAGGCAGGGGCCTGTGGGCAAGACTCAGGAGCAGTGAGCTTACCCTTTGGACATGAGTTCAAGTCCCAGCGCTGCCGCTTGCGAGCAGCAGACCTTAGGCAAGTTACAAGTTACTTGAGCTCTCTGAACCTTGGTTTCTTCATTTGGGAAATGGGGACAGCAGCACTGCCTCCCTCGCGGGCTTGTCCTAAAGGCTGAATGAGGCGACGCAGGTAGACAGCCTGGCACAGCACTTGGCACAGAGTAAGAGCAATAAATGGCAACTGGAAAAAGCGGCCTGTTTCACCGTCACCCTCTCCCCCCAGGCTTCCCGCCTCATTGTCACCTTTGATGAGCATGTTATCAGCAATAACTTCAAGTTTGGAGTCATTTATCAGAAGCTTGGGCAGGTGCGCTCACCTCCTCCTCCCTGCTCTCTGACCCGCCGGGCTACGGGTCCGCTGCCACCCAGAGCACCTGCCCAGGGACTCTGTTTCCCAGGACCTGGGGTGGGGGTGCGGGAGGCTCCCAGCCTTCTCTGAGTATGAGTTGGGGGAGGGACTCTGTTTCTGTTTCCCAGGACCTGGGTGGGGCGGGCGGGGAGGCTCCCAGCCTTCTCTGGGTGTGAGTGTGGGGAGGGACAGCAGCTGCTCAGCAGCACCAGCTCGGTGACCTCTGTCCTCCGTGTGTCCCCAGACCTCCGAGGAAGAGCTCTTCAGCACCAATGAGGAGAGCCCTGCCTTCGTGGAGTTTCTTGACTTTCTCGGCCAGAAGGTCAAACTGCAGGACTTTAAAGGGTGAGCATTAGGTGGGACAAGCATCGATTCATTGGACCCGTGCCCTCGGGCAGGGAGGGAGCCCCTGGCCTGGCCCCACAGAGGCCTGGCTGGGGCTGGAGACTGAGCCATGGCCTGGGGGGGGTGGGGCAGGTTCCGAGGAGGCCTGGACGTGACCCACGGGCAGACGGGGACCGAGTCTGTGTACTGCAACTTCCGCAACAAGGAGATCATGTTTCACGTGTCCACCAAGCTGCCCTACACAGAAGGGGACGCCCAGCAGGTAGCCTGGGCACCCCCCCAACCTGCTTCCCACCTGTCCTCCCGTCCCTCCCATCTGCCTGTCTGTCCAGTGTTCGCCACCCCAGGTTCAGGGGGCCCTGGGTATAGTGATGGAAATGGTCCATTGTTCCAACTCGTGGGCTCTAGTTGGGGCAGGGTGACAAGCTGCCGCAGAGTCGGGAAAGCCTCAGTTTCCACGTCCATGAAACGGGGATGATAATGGCACCTACCTCTAGCTGAGCGTAAGACGGAACGCATCTAGAGTGGCTGGAACAGCCTCTGGTACAAGAGCTCCATAAATGCGAATTCGTTTTTTTACAGGGAGGGAGGGGCATCCTGGGGTGACATGGGGGCACTTCAACATGGTGGAGGTGGGTGTCAAGAAAAGCTGTCAAGACAGAGTGATTTTTAGGCTGCAAAGTTGCTGGGAGAAGGAGGGGGAATGTTCCAGGTGGAGAGAATGGCTTCCACCTTCTGCAGAGGCCTGGAAGCGAGGAAGTGGGGGGGATATTCTGGGAGCTGAATTCAGAAATTTGTCGCCTGTCCTAAGCTTCCTGCAGGGCTGTCTACCTTACCCCGTGCCCCCACCCCGGGGGGACAAAAGGGTAATGTGAGAAAATGGAAATATTTGTTTTTAGTGTCTTTTAATTTTCTTCTAAAGAGGATCCTCTGTTCATTTCAGCAACATGAATGCACGCTGAGCGGAACCTGTTTGTCCACGAGGGGCCATGTGTGGGGGCATTTAGACAGGAGAGGGGCTGGGAGGTAGAGCCTGGGAACCAGGAGTCCTGAGCTTGGTTGAGTCCTCTAACTCACCGCAGGGCCTTGCAAGTCACAGCTCTCTTGGCCTCAGTTTCCCCATCTGTCATGGGATTCCAAGAAAACTAAAATGATTTTAAAACAAGTTTCTCATGACCTTGTTTTGAGGGGAAGCAAATCCTCAGACGTGCCCTTCTGCCTACCCTAAGGCCTCCCACACTCCTGCGGGCACCCTCCCCTGTGCCCGGGGAGCCCCTCTCCGGCCAGGTTGTGAAGGCCTGTGGCCCTGTGCTCAGTTGCAGCGGAAACGGCACATCGGGAACGACATTGTCGCTGTGGTCTTCCAGGATGAGAACACACCCTTTGTGCCCGACATGATCGCATCCAACTTCCTGCACGCCTATGTGGTGGTGCAGGCCGAGGGCGGGGGGCCCGAGGGCCCGCTCTACAAGGTGGGTGATCGCGGAGCTTCCCAGGGTATTAGCCCCAGCCCCTCCCTGAGTCACTCTGAGATCTCTCAGAGCCTCAGTCTTCCCACCTGTAAATAAGGGGACTGTCCAGAGGGCTCTGAGCGCCACCCCCCCACCCCCACTCTGTTAATGGAGGATTCCCATCCCACCCTCTCTGCTCCCCCAGTTCTCCCGCCTCAAAGGAGCTGGTTGCCCTTCTCCACCCTTTAGCCTCCTAGGCCTTCACTATCCTCCCTGACCTCTGAGAGCCTCTACCCCTTCTCACCATTCAAATTCAGGACCAAGGATGGAGGAGCTGAAATGCTGGGGTTCGCTCAGCCCGTCTGCAGTCACTGAACCTTCCCCGGCAGGGGGCAGGCCAGGGATGAATTCGGGGTCTCTGGCTGGGGTGGGGACCCCACAGGGACTGCTGCTCTCCCTTCCAGGTCTCTGTCACCGCTAGAGACGACGTGCCCTTCTTTGGGCCCCCCCTCCCGGACCCTGCTGTGTTCAGGAAGGTGAGGGGCAGCCCCCAGCCCCAGTCATGGACAGAGCAGGACGAAACGGGTGGCGGCCAAGGGGCGCGCACAGTCTGCCGTAAGAGGTCCTGAGGCCCCACTGCGTGCCAGGGCAGCTGGGCTCCCCTAACCGTGTCACCGGGGCCTGGCTTCTCATTCACATTGATACAAGCTGTGATCTTTATTTACAGAGCCAGGGAACAATCTGCATCATTGTTTTCGATTTCTCATAGAAGGCTCTGTGGCCTTCCCTAACTTCTATTATCTTTTTGACAATCACAGTCTTCTTTCTCTAAATGTTTGGGAAGGGGGCACACATTGCTCTCACCTCTCAGAATGGCCGCACCCCGAGCCTTGGCTTCAGTCCCCGCACTTCTCCCCCAGACTGAGGCGGTAGGAGACCCCACCAGCCCCTTGCATCTGTGAGGTCTGCTCTCCCAAGGGGTGGGTAACCATGAAGGGCCTAGGGGGCCTTCACAGGTACCTAGGCTGGGGGGCTGAGGCCAGGGAGGCGCCCTCCTGAGAGAGAAGAGGGGGGCCCCAGGGCCCCAGGAGGGCGTGGCTCCGGAACTGCAGCCCCTTGTCTCTGTGTTCATCTGAGCCCCTTCTCTCCTCTCCACGCTGGGGGCCCCCAGGGGCCTGAGTTCCAGGAGTTCTTGCTGACAAAGCTCATCAATGCTGAGTATGCCTGCTACAAGGCAGAGAAGTTTGCCAAGCTGGAGGTGAGGACCGGCTGTTGGGCTGAACCCAGCCTGCAACCTGGCATTGCAGCCCTGCCTCCAGGGAGGGAAATGCCTGGTTCAGACCTCGGCTTCAGGGAGAGCTGTCTGGGGTGGGGGTGGATGTGGGGGGAGCAGGGCTCTGGTCCGGGGAGAGGAGCTGGGGCGTTTCTAGCGGGATGTGAGGAATGTCCCAGGAGGTGCTCGCAGACGCGCAGGCTGGCACAGGGGACACGGTGGGGGCAGGGGCAAACCGTGGTTGGGGCATGCGCAGCCCCGAGCGCTGCTGCAGCTGCGGGGGGACCCAGGGGAAGCCAGCGTGGGCGCCCGGGGCCCGGGGCCCAGGCCCACTCCCTGCTGCCTCTGAGAAGGTGGACAGGATTTCAACTGTAGACCCAAGGGCCGATCACTGGGGTCTCTCCTGATGGCCTCGGCCTGGCCCACAGGAGCGGACACGGGCCGCCCTCCTGGAGACGCTCTATGAGGAACTGCACATCCACAGCCAGTCCATGATGGGCCTGGGCGGTGACGAGGACAAGATGGAGAATGGCGGCGGGGGCGGCGGATTCTTCGAGTCTTTTAAGGTGAAGGGCCAGGGTCTGCCTGGGGCGGAGAAGCGGGGACCTGGCCGGGGCCGGGACGGGCGCGGGGCTGTGGACCAGGCCTGGAGGGGCGGCTGGAGGCGGCTTGCGCTGGGGGTGGAGTCGGTGGGGGCGGGGCTCGGGGTGGGGTCTGGGGGCGGGGTTCTCAGACGTGAGCGGGGCTAGGAGCGAGACGGCAGGCACCTGGGGGGAGAGTCTGGGTGACCTAGGCTTTAGGGTGGGGCCCTGACTTGGGAGGAGTTGATGGTTGGAGGCGGGGCCTAGGCTTGGGGGTGGAGTCTACCTGGGAGTTCAGCGAAGGTTCGCGCCCTCGGAGCGGCAACCAGTGCCTCTGGTGCCTCCGGTGGTGGCTACCGCGTCAGCAGGCAGAGAAGAGAGGAGGTCTCTGTCCTCACTGAGGGAGAGAAACACAAGTCTGAGATGTGAACCGGGTGGCCGTAGGAGAGGGACCTGGCCTGTGTGACCTTAGGCCTGTGTGACCTGCCCTGGCTGCTCTGGATTATCTTCGAGTTAAGAGCACAGACCCTCTGGGTCCCTTACCGGCTTGAGCATCCTCTGAGCCTCAGTTTCTTTCTTTTCTTTTTTTAAAGTTGTATTTGTTTAAGTACCCGCTACCCTCAACGTGGGGCTCAAACCCATGACCCCGAGGATCAAGAGTCACATGCTCTTCCGACTGAGCCAGCCAGGCACCCCTGAGCCTCAGTTTCTCTATCTACTGGGTAGGGCAATGGCAGTAGATAGAACTGCATACAGTTACCTGTACAGCTCATACAGCTGTTGAGAATTATTTATAAAGCAGTTAGACTAGTGCAATGTAAGTTCAAACGCAAAACCCTGACCACCTACCTCAGCAGCTGCTGTCCAAAGTGAGAGACAGAGGAGGAGGGAGTCCCTCTTTCCCCCAGAGGGCCTGGACTCTCCCAAGCTGCAGGTCCCCAGGCTGTGGTTTCTTTGCCATCTTTTCCACTCCCAGAAGGGGGGCTGCCCATCCTCCAGGTGCCCAGCCAGGCCAGTTGGGCCTCACCATCACTCCGGGGCAGGCAGCAAAGCTGGAGACATGGGTTTGCATGAGGAGATTGGCCGGGCTGCCCCGGCCTGCCCTGCACTTAGGCGAACAGACTTTGAGAAAGGGACCTGAGGAGAGCCCCACCTCTGCCCGCTGGAGACAGGGAATGGGTGGGGTGAACATGGGTCTGGGGTCTCTTGAGGGAGGGCTCCCATGGTCTCAAATCTAGTAGGTGCTGGATAAGGTCAAAGAATTCCTTAGAGGCAGTAGAGCCCACAGTGAAAGGCATGTGATTTGGCATCTGGGTCAGGCTCATCTCATTTGTAAAATGGCCATGATAATGCCCACCTGGTAGGGTGCACTGAGTGAGAGAATGAAAGGTAGGTGCCTGGCCCTGTAGGAAACATCCAGTGTAGATTGGCTGAAAAAAGCAAGGAAGAAAAGGAGAGAAGGAGGAAAGAAAAGCAAGGAGAGACAGCCCTAAAGGACCCTAAAAACAAGAAACTGAGGTTTCTGGAGGGCTCTCTGTGCACGCTCTGGCTCACACCCCAGCATCTAATGCAGTCCTTTCAACAGCCACATGGGAGTCCCAGGAGGCTCAGAGAGGTGATGTGGCTTGCCTGATGTCCCCCAGCAAAGCCAAGGCCCAAACTACCCTTAGGCACCATGTGGACTTACCCTCCCGGGGCCTCACGGGCAGGGATTTCCGGAGGTTACCTGGAGTAGCATTGGTGGGGAGGGCCCAGATGTCTGGGCTCCTGGGTGCCATGGGTGGGTGGGACCTCATGAAGCTTGTGCCACCTCCGCTCCTACCCCACCTTCACAGCGGGTCATCCGGAGCCGCAGCCAGTCCATGGATGCCATGGGACTAAGCAACAAGAAGCCCAACAGCGTGTCCACCAGCCACAGCGGGAGCTTTGCCCCCAACAACCCTGACCTGGCCAAGGCAGCCGGAATAGTGAGTGCCACCCCCAGCAGCCCTCAGCTTCCCCCCGCCTCCGAGGCCCAGCCCCGCCTCCTCCCATTGCCCTGGCATTTGTGGCCAGCCTGGGTTCTAGACTCTGTCTGGCCACTGCTCTCCATTGGGGTCCAATGTCCAGGCCACGACCTTGGGGTGCTGAGAGCCTGCAGCTTCCCCTCCCCCGCCCCGGCCCCTTATTCAGGTGACTTTCTGCGGCTCAGCTCTGGGGCTATCTCTCTCTGACACTCCTTATTGAGCACCTACTGTCTATCATGTGCTGGGAATCGGGCTGCTTTGTGGGCACCTAATGTCAAGCCTTGTGTTGCCGGGAGCACCTCCTGTGTGTCAGGCTGTGGGCACGCACTGTATGTCAGGAACTGGATTTCTGTGTGAGCACCTGCTGTGTGCCTGGCTCTGAGATGCTGGTGGGCTCCTCCTGTGTGTCGGGACTTGGGCTGCTGTGTGAGCACCTACTGTGTCAGGACCTGGGTTGCTGTGTGGACATGTACTGTGTGAGCATCTCCCGTGGGCCTTCCCTGAGTTTCCGTGAGCACCTACTGTGTGTCAGGTCCCGGGCTGCTGTGCGGGCATCAACTCTGTAAGTATCTACTGTATGCCCAGCCCTGGGTTATCCTGTGAGAACCCACCGTATGTCAGGAGATAAACTCCTGCCTGAGCACACAATATGTGCTAAGCCCTGGATATCGGTGAACCTTCTCTCTGTGCCAAGAAGTGAGCTGTGGTGTGAGCATCTATTCTGTGATCATCTACTTCTGTGTCCCTGGCCCTAGGCCGCTGTGTGAGCACCTACTGTGTGTCAGGGCCTCTGTGGTTGTGGCTCCCTGTTGTGTGTCAGGAACTGGGCTTCTGTGTGAGCACCTGCTGTGTGATTACTTCCTGTCTGCCAGCCTCTGTGGGATTCTGCTGCTAACACGGAGGGGGTGTGCTGGGCGCACAGGGTGGGTAAGGCCTTCAGCTGTGGGCCCATCGGCTTTCCGCCGCCTAGTGGCCACTCCTGGCATTGCACTCACAATTCTGCTCCTCCCCATCTGTCCATCTTTCTTCCATCCATCTATCTGTCCATCCTTCCTTCTGTCCTTTATTGACTATATGCTGCATGCCAAGCCCTGTGCTCAGTGCTGTAAGGCTGCGTCACATGGCAGGAGGTCCCCCCCCACACCCCAGCCACCCCTGCCCCTTGGTCTGGCCCGGCCCGGGGAGCAAGGCAGGACCTCGGCTGTCCTGCGGTCACCAAGCCCACTGTCACTGGAGAAGCAGGCCCACCCCCTCCCTTCCCGCCGCGTGGCCTAGCCTCCTGTGGGTGCTGTAGAAGGGGCCCCGGGGCCGGGCCAGGCCGGCAGCACCCACCATAGCAGTAACCAGACCCATTTCTGTTTTTGTTTTTGTACAACTCTCTTCTCTCCTGCTGTTTCCTTTTCCTTCTGCCGTCTGCACTTTCCCTTCTCTCTCTTTCCCCCTGTGCCCCCACTGATACCTTTGTCCTCTGCTTCCTCTTCCCCCACACTTTTCTCTCCCTGCTTCCTCCTTTCTGCCTCCCGTTCTTCCCATCTCTGTCTCTCGGTCTGTCTTTCACTCTGTGACCTCCGTGTGCCCCCCAACGCGTCCCGATCCGTGTTTCTGTCTATTGGCCAATCTCTTTCCTCCGTCCACTGTGCTGCCCCTTCCTGGCTGTGTCTCTCTCTGTCGACCCCATCTCCATCTCTCTCTGTCTCCCCTCATGTCTGTCTGTCTGTCTCTCTCTGCCCCTGCCCTCTGCTGCTTGCCAGTCATTGCTTATTCCTGGGAAAAGCGCGAGTAGATTTGGACGCCGGGGCAGTGCCATAGGCATAGGAACGGTGGAAGAGGTTGTCGTCCGCGGGGCCGCCGGCTCTGGAGGCTGCCTGCACGTGCTGTTCTCTGCTCGCTCTCAGGACGGAGGCCATATTGGGGACGTTGCCCCCCCCCCCTCCCCGGGCTGGGCCCGGGGCTGTGTGCAGGATGGAGTGCCAGCCGCTCTGATGGCACTCAGCACCTGCTTTGGGGCCTGGTACCTGTGTCAGAGCCAGCGCCCCCCCGCCAGGGGCTTCTGGCCCTGCCCTGGCCCTGGGGACCCTGACCCAGTCCCTGCCAGAATCTGGTACCCAAAGACCCGTGCCCAGCCATGCGTCCCCCAATATCGCCCGTTCTGCATGGAACGCCATCCCTCTCCTCTGCCCTGATTCCCCCTCCGCACGGTGAACTGGCTGGGGGTTTCCTGCCCCTCCCTGCCTCCCCGGGGTCCACCCTCCTGCCTCCCCCAAGAAGCTGGGGCCTGCTTCTGGTGCCTGGGGCATCCCACCCTAGTGTGGCTAGAAACCGGGGGAGGGAAGGTATCTTTCAACTGCTGGGCCTGATCTCCCCCAGCCGGTTTGGAGATTCCGGGGTAGGGCAGGGGCCACATCCACTCTCTCCCCGCTGCCCTGAGGCTTCAGGTCCCATGATGCTCCTGAGGGGCAGAGGGCCAGTAGCCATTCTGAGGAGTGGGCCTGGCCTGAAACTCCAGGCGCTGCCCTGCCGGGCGATCTCGGGTGCCCTCGGCCTCCCCGGGCCTGCTTCCCTCTGTGCTAACGTGAAGGGCTCTCTTAGGTGATGGGGATTCCTCTCATTCTTCCTTGTTCACCGCCTCTGCCTCAGAGCCTGGGGCAGCAGGGCCCCAGGTGGCATGTGGGGGATAATGGCTCTCCCAGGGCAGGTGGGCACTGAGTCGGGGCCTTTCCCTGCAGTCACTGATCGTCCCCGGGAAGAGCCCCACGAGGAAGAAGTCAGGCCCGTTTGGCTCTCGCCGCAGCAGCGCCATCGGTATCGAGAATATACAGGAGGTGCAGGAGAAAAGGTGGGTGGGATGGGCCCCCTGTCGCCGCCAGCCCCTTCCCTGACCCCTGTTCAGTGGCAGAGGTTCACAGGCAGGAGGGAGCGCCCATTTTTTTGCTCCCTGTCCCTTTCTGGGGACGGTCAGGTACCTACTGTGTGCCAGGCACCAGGGCCAGCTCGTCACCTAACGTGAGATGCCCCCCTCCGTTCAGCGGGTCTGCTGGCTCCCCAGGGGTCACGCCTGGCCTGTCAAGATGCTGTAGGTGAGAAGGCTCAGGGGCCTGCCCAGGTCACGCAACCAGGGAGAGACAGAACTAGGGCTTACGGCCTGGTCTGTGGGAGTCGGCAGATGCTCCGTGTGGGCAGGGCGCAGGGAACACGCCATGTGAGCAGCGGGACAGCCCTTGGGAAGCAGAGGATAGTTCCTGGACATGAATCCTGTCTCTACTGCACTGGGGCTGTGTGGCCCTGGAAAAGTCACTGTACCTCTCTGAGCCTCGCTGTCCCCATCTGGAAAATGAGGATAAGCACATAAACAACAACACGGGGCTGCGGCAGAGGTACGGTGCAGAGCACGTGAAGCAGGCAGGTGCACCAAGGCCTCCGGAGTGGAGGTGGTACCGTCCACACGGCCACGAGAGCCCAGAATCCTGTGAATCCTGGATTCAAGCCGTGGCTTTGCCGTGGCCCAGCTATGCGTCCCTGCACAGATTCCTCCCCGTCTCCGACTCCAGGCTCCTTACTGTACCAGGGATAAGGAGGGGATGCGCTGTCACACGTAGGTGCTCCAGCACTTCCTGCTCCTCTCGTCGGCCAGCCCAGCTGGGGAGCCGCAGGGACTGCTCGGGGGTCGGCCCCTCAGGATCTAGGGTGTGGGGACGAGGCAGAAGGTGCCCGTGACCTTCTCTCACCACCCTTGATGCCAGGCCCGGTGCTGAATCCCCCCCGCTGCCCCCATGTGCCCCGCAGGGAGAGTCCCCCCGCCGGCCAGAAGACCCCAGACAGCGGGCACGTCTCACAAGAGCCCAAGTCGGAGAACTCATCCACTCAGAGCTCCCCAGAGATGCCCACGACCAAGAACAGGTTGGGGTTTGGGGCACGCCGAGCAGGGGGCTCGGACTCACCCTTTCCAGTCCCTGCGTGGGCCCGGGGCTGCCCGGGAGCATTGGCACCGCCACACCAGAGCATCAGGGGGGCCCGGGTACTCTCACAGGCCTCTGTTGACACATACCCGCTGAGAGCTTATTCATGCCAGGCCCCATGCAACGCTCCAGAGCCAGCAGCGAGCTGGGCATACACAACCCCTGCCTCGTGGAGCTGACAGTCAAGCATAGCATGACCTGATTTCTAGGCCACAAGAAACAGCAAAGCCAGGGACACAATGGGGAATGATTGGGTGGGTAGGGGGTAGATGGTGCTGAAAAAAGACATCCAGATACAAGGGAGGCTTGAACTGAGAGCTTGGTGAAGAGCCAGCCCTGCCAGGACTGGCACAGCAGAGGGAAGAGGGCTCCAGGTGAGAAACACAGCAAGTGCAAAGGCCCTGAGGCATGCTCAAAGGATAGATAGAAAGAAGGTGGTGTGGTTGGAGCTGAGTGAGTGAGGAGCTGGGCCCAGGCAGACATTGTGATGGGTGTTATCGGGAATGAGGTCAGCAAGGTGGGCAGGGGCTGGGCCCCGGCTTTGGAAGCCATATTGAGAACTTTGCATTTTGCTCTAAGCAAGGCCAGGAAAGAGCCTTTGGGATTTTAGTTAAGAGGTGAAGGGGTGGAGTGGGGAAGAAAGGAAGGGGGGGGTGGGGGGGCGCCCCTCCCTTCAGTGCTGTGCTCAGCCCCCTCTGTGCTGGCTCCGGGGGCCACTAGAGGGCTGCGCTCTGCTGCTCTGCTGCCCGGATGGCAGGGAGGATGGCAGGGACCGGGAGAGACAGGACCCGCAGACCCAGAGGGGGGAGGTCTGTTCCCACCTTGAGAGAAGGCATCAGGGAGGGAGCGATGCTAGGCTGAGTTTTGAAGGATGAGTTTGCTTTTTGGGATTTGAGGGAAGGAGTGAGACTCCAGGCGGGAGACACGAAGTCCTGAGCCTGGAGCAAAACTGAGAGGGTTGAGAGTAGACTGTAGAGTTGGAAGGCGTGGGTCCAAGCCCTTGTTCTCCCACCTACGGCTGGGTGACCTTGGGCTGTGCACCCACCCTCTCTGAGCCTCGGTGTTTCCTCATCTGTAAGGTAGGTCTAACAATGATAGCAATGGAACAACGCTGGCAAAAGCACTTGAAACTGCCTGGCACAGAGCAAACATGCCCTAGACCGTAGATTTATTGTTAATAGTTACTATTAGCTCTGAGGGCCAAGCCAAGGAAAGTAGACCGTGTCTGGGGCAGTGAGGAGCCCGAGAGGGTTTTGTACAGGGGAGGGGCATGCTCAGATCCACGCATTAGGAAGGACGGCGGAGGGGGCTCCTCGGAGGCTGAGGGAGCTGTCATGGGGGGCACAGAGGTACTTGGCTGGCTACAGGCTGGGCCTCCCCGGGCAGGGAGCCGGGGTCTGGCTCGGGAGGAGCCCAGTGCAGATGCGGGCTGACGGGGTGCTGTCTGTGGCAGAGCGGAGACCGCAGCCCAGAGAGCGGACGTGCTGAAGGACTTCTCCCGTTCCTCGTCCAGTGCCAGCAGCTTCGCCAGCGTGGTGGAGGAGACCGAGGGCGTGGACGCGGACGACACAGGCCTGGTGAGAGGCCCAGGGCGTGCGGGTGCTGCACAGTGGTCTGGAGGGGAGCTCTCTGGTCCCCGCAGATGCTCCAGGCAGAACATGAGCTTGAGTGTGGCTGAGATGAAACCAGGGGACCCAGCCCAAAGGAGCGATGCAGACTAATCCTCCCTTACTCTAAAGCCTTCCATGGCTCCCCAGTGCTGCCCACAGAGCACCCAATCCCTGAGACTCCTGAAGATCTGGTCCCCCCTTCCCCTGCACCTCTTACCACTTCAGCCATTCTGTGCTCCTTTGCAGTCCCCCCAACATACCCCACCTCTGGACCTTTGCACTTGCCATTTCCTCTGCCTGGCAGACTCTGCCTGTCTCCTCTTTCCCTCTTTGTCTCACTGACTCCTACTCATCCTTCTGGACTCAGCCTCACATCACCTCTGAAAGCCTTCTAGTCATCGGGTGGGCTAGGGGTCCCCCCTTTAATGCTCTCACAGGCCCCCCCGCAGCTTTGCCCGTGTGTCATTGTTCATTCAGCAAACCTTTAGCGGCCACGTGTCCCTTGCCAGGCCCTGTTCCAGCTGCTGCAGGTGAGCAGGGAACGGCAGACCAAGGCCCCGCCCGACAGGCTCAGAGTCTAGGATTGTTTTGGTCACTGTCTGCCTGGCCTCCTGGGCCTCACTGTCTGAGGGCAGGGGCCGTGCCCGACCTCGCAGCGGCTCGGCCGGGAGAACGCCAGGGACTGTTTGCTGAATGAGTGCCTGGGGGAGTGTGGTGTATGCCCAGGACTGTGCCTGTCCTGCTCTGCCCTCCTCCTGGTCTCCCCGGGGCAGACACTGCTGGGCCCCCGTCCTCTTTGCAGGGGCGCAAGGGTGAGGGGTTGTGGGTTGCAGCAGGCAGGGGAGGCCGGGAGAGGGGAGGGAAGCAAAGCCCGTGCCGCGGACAAGGGCTAAGCCCCCTCGTTCTCTCTTCGCCCGTCCCCAGGAGAGCATCTCGTCCTCAGGGACGCCCCACAAGCGGGACTCCTTCATCTACAGCACGTGGCTGGAGGATAGTGTCAGCACCGCGAGTGGGGGCAGCTCCCCAGGTATCAGGCCACAGACAGCCCCCCCCAGGCCATCCTTGTGCAGCTGGGGGACGGGCATGGCCCCAGGCGGTGGGTGTGTGCCGGGGCTTCCCCTGACTTAGGGGACAGTGGGCGGGCCATTATCCGGCCCTGGACGGCTGAGGGCTGTTGGCTTCTGGAAGGGCCTCGGGGAATGATGGAGGGAGGGTAAGGCAGGGAGGTAAGGGTGGGCAGGGTTGCAGAGTACCAGTGCCTACCGCCCATCCATGCGTCCATCTCCTTGCTGCCTCCCCGCGGCCAGTGAGGTGGCTCCCTCCTGCCCCCCTCCCCAGGACCTTCCCGGTCACCCCATCCCGACGCCAGCAAGTCGGGGGACCCTGCGTGTCCCGAGATCAAGATCCAGCCGGAAGCAACTGAGCAGCATGCGCCCCAGCAGGTACGGGCAGCTGTCAGAGGGCGGTCAGGGTGGGCATGGCCAGCTGGAGGCTGGGGCAGGAGGGGTTAGCTGTTGGGGAATGGGGGCGGGCGGGCGTCCCGGGGGACCAGGGTGGGTGCGGGACCTCGGGGTTGGGGTCATCTGGCCCCGGACACAACCAGTGTCTTCTGCTTGCCTGTGTCTCCCACCCCATGTCTTCATGTACCCTGTCACCCGCCTCGCTGCCACTCTGTGCAGGGCTGTTAGCCAGGCTCCAGCTCTGGAGGTGAAACTGAGCAGGTCAGACCCAGCCCTCAGCTGTTGTTGGGGGGAGGAGGGTGGGAGTACGGGGGGGAGGCGGTGGGGGGACTCCTCCCCACTCCTCTGTCATTTCCCTGGGCCGAGAGCTGTGTACCTGGATTCGAATCCTCTGCCACTCAAATGCTGAGTTACTTGGGCCTGTCATCGGCCCCTCTCCGGGACTCAGTTTCCTTATCTGTGCAGCTGGGCTAATAAATGCTGCGTGACCTCTGCCCACGAGTCACTGGGAGGGTTTGGTGGGAGCCGGCAAGGGACTAGGCGGTTGCTGGGAGGGAGGGGCCTGAGGACCCCCGTGGGTGGAAGGGCCCAGAGCCTGGACCTCCGGGGGCAGGCAGGCCCTTGCCGCTTCTGTCTCCCCGCATCGTGGTGTCTCCTCTCCCTTACCCTGCAGATGAGGGCGCAGAAGCACAAGGTGAAGATGCTGTGTCGGCTCCAGGTGTCTAGGACCTCTGCCCCCATGGCCAGCACCAGCCTGTGGGCTGTCCCCTGCCCCCGCCTTGGCCACCTGTCTGGGCTGTCTCTGCAGGGCGGAGCCATCCGGACCCGGGAGGGGGAAGCTGCTGGCATCATCCCCACCCCCCAGGCTGGGACAGGCAGTGATCAGTTGGAGCAGAACTCCGGGCCCTTCCTCACGTCTGGGTGTACCTCCAGCCCCCTGGGAGCAAGATAGGAGGGCAGGCTTGGGGCATCTCCGTGTACACAGAGCCCACAGCGGGGGCAGCGGGACGTGAAATGTGGTGGAATGGGCACTGGGCCGGGAGTCCTAAGTCCTAGCTTCCAATTTGGGTTCTGCTGTGTGACTTTGGGCAAGTCGCTCTCCCCCTCTGGGCGCCTCTGCTACAAATGGACAAGATTATTACAGAGGTCAGTGAAGACTGTGATTCCATGCATCTGCCCCAGAATGGGGGATTCTCCTCCTGGGGGACTCCCACCGCCCTCCCTTGCTTCTTGGGCTCCCTGGGCCCCCAGGTGGGCTGAGGGGCTGGGAGCTGGCTATGCGTGTTGCCCCTCCTGGGCCCTCAAGCTCTACCACAGACCTGCCAACGCCCTGGCCACTGCCTCCATGTGACACACAAGTGACCCCCTGAGGGGGAAGGGAGCCCTACCTGGCTTCCCAGCCAGCACCCAGCTTCACCCCTGCCATCCCATGCTCAGGGTACTCCAGGTCACGGGGTCTCAGCTGGCCTAGAGTATGGGCCTCGCCTTTGTGCCCCCCCCACCAACTCCCAAGGAGGGGACAGCAGGCACAGCTGCTGCGATCCACATTCTTGTGTCTGTCCACACTTTTTAGGCGCCACGCCAAAGGCCATCCTTCCGGCCCCGACACCCATTCTGGAAGCCCCGTGGCTGTGTGTATGTCGGTAACAGTTGTACAAAATAAATTCTATTTATCGCTATTGTACCCCTGGTTGGGCCTGGCTTTGTGCGAACCCCGCCCAGACTGACTCCACACAGAGCTCGGTGGTGCCGAGGCACCAGCCTGTCTGTCCCCCTAGCAGAGCTGCTAGGCCCTGGGGGCACCTCGACGGGCAAACATGGGTTCTGTGACCGCCGGCTGTACTTCCTTTCCATCATGCTGCCCTCCTCTCCATCCTGTTCCCCTTCTCCGTGGGGCAGTGGGGGTGGGGGGGCAGGGGCGGGGAGAATACAGCTCTGAAGTCAGGCAGACCTAGGTTCAAGTCCCTGCACCATCTCTTACTAGCTGGGTGGTCTTGAGAACCTTGAGCCTCAGTTTCCACTTCTGTGGAACGGGAGCAGTAGTGCTTCTCCCAAGAGTCTGTGATGAGGGTTCACCAAGCCGGTGCATAATCAAATACCTAGGTGCTCAGAGAACAGCTTCCTTCTTTCCTTCCTCTTGCTCAGTGAAGTCTAAGAATTTCTTCAGTGCGGCCACCAGGGGGCGCCAAGGCATCGCTTACCAGGACTGATGGGGGTGGGGCGGGGGAGGGGGCTTGCGGGCAGGGCAGTTGCAATAGAAGGTACTGGGTGACCGGGGCGTGCACAAGGCGGGGGCCCAGGCTGGGTGAGGGAGACATGGAGAGGACTCGACAGCAGTGGCGCCCAAGCATCCCGGAAAGGCTTAGGAAAGTGTCCCTGGGGCAGGAAACTGCAGGTGCCGAGGTACGGAGGAGAGTGTCTGGAATTGGTAAGGTAGCAAACAGTTCTGAGTAATGGGAAGGTGACAAAGTAGAGATGAAGCCAGGGGCCACGTGGCCTTGAATGCCAGACCAAGGGGCCCAAGGTCTATGCTGAGGGCAGCGGGGAGCCATGGAGGATTGATGAAACTGGATGAACCATGAATGAACTGGGAGGGATTGCCATAGAGAGAAGCTGGGGCTGCTGGTGGAGACCAGCTGGGCAGTGTCAGGCAGGGAGGGGAGGATCCAGGTGGCAGCAGCTGTTGGGGACAGAGGCCAGTGGGCAGGCCAGGAAGGACCGGGGTGGGGGGCATGAGCATCTGGGTGAAGGGCCTGATGGGGTGTGGGGCTGACTGGGGAGTCCAGCCTGGGTACTGGGTAAGGGGGTCCCCGCTGAGCTAGTGCAGGAGGGAGAGAAGCTTGGATGGCCACATGCCCTGGCCTCCCTGACAGCTCCGCACCCCCACCCCCACCCCCACCACCAGCCCTCACGCCCTCCCCAGGACGGTGTAGGTGCACCCACTGCCATGCTCTTCGTGACAGGGCTCTTCTGTGGCGCTAGGTTGTCTGGGGCCACCCAGGGGCTGTGACTCACACCCAGTGCCTAACCCCACCCACCCGGTTTGGCTCTAGGCTGCCCTGGGCTCCGTGGGTCCCCTACTAACCCCAGCCCTTGCCTGCACAACCTCACCCCAGTTCTCTAGCCATCCTCCTATCCTCTCCCCTTCCCACCACCGGAGGGCCAGCAGCCACAATTCAGCACCAAGGTCAAGAGCTTGGCTCTGAGTCCCTTTATCTCCTCTCTATGTGAGTCAGGGCACACAGATTTTGGCTCTCCCGGCCTCAGTTTCCTCACCTGTACAACGGGAATGCTAACAGTTCTGACTTTGGTACCCTGATGTGAAGATTCAAAGGTGCAGCCCTAGCACGTGATGGGCTCTGAGACATAGTGTGCCTGTTGGGAGTGGGAGCCGTGATTAGCCGCGAACAGGGACCGTGTCCACAGCCCACATCAGAGGACGTGGGGTCAGCGTTCTGTGTGGACAACGGAATAACAGGTGCTGGGCCTGACACAGGTGTCCGGACACAAGGCTTTGGGAACACACCATTGCCAGTTGCTTCCCGAGCCTCAGCTCCCCAGGCTTTCCCGGACTTTATGATCCTTTACAAGGGTCTGGGCGCCTTCCTCCATCACGCAGCTCCCACCCGCAGCCGAGCACTGGGGGACTGTGTGGCAGAAGCGGACCCTACCTTTGCCCCTCTGCCTGCCTGGTCTGCGCGGGGGCCCCCTGTCTGTGGCAAGGGCAGGCCTCTGGGCTGGCTTTCAGGCTGGACCCCTACCCACTCCCACCTCTCCAGGCTCCGAGGTGGGGCCGGGGGAGGCTGAGGAGGAATCTGGCCTCGGGGATCAAAGTGTTCAATGCGGTTTCTTTTGCGCCTGCGCCAGTTCCTTGCTCACTCTGGGCTCTGAGGTGGGGAGGGTGAGCCGGGACACTGACCCGAGGCTGGAATTAGCCCTTGGGTGGGGGGCACCGGGCTCCGGGAAGCCCTGGACTCTACTTAGAAATAGCTCTGGTGGTGGAAACGGCAGCCAGAGGTTTCTCCGGATGCAGGAGGCCTCCTGTGGTGGGACTTGGGCACCTGGCTGACCTGCTGTCCTCCCCGTCCCCGAGCCTCCGAGCTGGTACCTGTCTCTCCAGCCCTCAGGTCCATTGCTGTAAACTGAGGACAAAGCCTTACCTATTGCTCTGAAGAGGCTGTCGTGGCTTCTAAGGTGCCTGGCAAAGAACCCATGCCCGATGGGAGGGGTCCTCTCCTGTCCCCTGGGGTGTCTCTGGACATCATGGCTAACCCTGAGGCGACTTTGCCAAAGAGACGGCCGCAGGGCCAGGCCCGCCCAGTGCCAGGGGATGGGGACCTGGATGTTCTCTGCTGCTTAGGCCACAGGGGGTACTTAGCCAGGGACCCTGGAATGTAGAGGTCCCTCCCTCCCTCCCTCCCTGTACCCGCCCTGCCAAGGGGACAGCCAGGGACGGAGTCTCCTGAAATAACCAGATCTGGTTAGTGAGGCTAATTTTAAAAGCCACTCTGGCTGCCCCATAGGCCCTTCTGGGAAGCCATGAATGTCCCTGTGTCGCCCCTGGGAAGCAGGGTGAGGAGAGAGTGGCAGGGGCTGGGGCTGGGGCTGGACTCGCATCCTTGACTGTTAGTGCAGGAGACCCCTGGCTGCCTCCCAGGGCCTGCCCGTCCAGCACCCAGAGTCCCAGGTCCAATACTGGGGCTCGGGGGCCCAGCCTCTGTCCCGATCCGCTCAGGGCAAACCCCAGTGGGCTCTCAGGACCCTCCGGCACCCACGCTGGTCTCCCTGAAGCAGTAATGAGCAGGGGGACTTAGGCTCTCTGGGTCAGTCCTGGCTCTCTCCCACTGTCTCCATTGCTCACTCTCTATGTTCCTCCGTCTCTGGATCTCTGCCTCTCCCTGTCTCTGACACTGGAGGTCCCTCTTTGCAGCAGTGGCTCTGTCGCCCTCTCTCTGGGCCCATCATGAAGGAGGTCAGACAGCATTCCTGACAGTCCAGAGGCTGGAGCGTGCGTACCAGGTGGGAGTGGGTGTCTACCTTGGAGCTGGGGGCCCCGCAGGGGCGGGCCGCAGTCCTGGGGGCAGACAGGAGCTGTAACTGGGCAGGCAGAGGGCCATGTCCAGGCACGACATGGGCCATCTGGACAGGCCAGGTGCCAGCAGAAGGAATGAGCTCCAGGAGTAGGATTGCCAGATTTAGCAAGTAGAAACACAGAGCCCAGTTAAACTTGAATTTCAGATAAACAAGAAATAATTTTTAGTTTAAGTATACCTCACGCAATATTTGGGACATACTTATACTAAAAAATCATCCCTTGTTTATTTGAAGTGCAAGTTGAACTGGTCATCCTATATTTTATCTGGCAACCTTATCCTGGGAGGCCCTTGGAGTGAGCGGAGAGGTTTCTCAGGAATGACAGGTTTTATAGACGGACCGTAGGAGCCCCAGCCTGGAGGGGAGACCACAACCGTACCCCAGTCTCACAGCGCGGGCACACCTCCTGCCCAGAGAGATTTCAGTTTTCTGGGGATGCGGACAGTTCTTCGGAGGCCGTGACCCTGACATCAGTCACCTCCTCAGTGGAGCCATAGACCTCAGAAGGGAGGGCGTGTACATTCTCTGCTGAGCCCAGTGCCTAACCCAGGGCCTGGCACATAGTGGGGGCTTCATAAATATTTGCGGAATCAATGAAGAGTCCCCCCAACCCACCCCCATTGGGATGGGGGTGCTTAGCCAGCAGGGGGCTCCAGCAGCCTACCTCCCAAGCTCCTTGAGGCTAACTGGTGCGTGCAGTGCCTGCCCCCTGTCCGGGGACTCCCAAAGTGCGCTGCAGAAAGAGAGTGAAGGGGCAGATGGAGAGAGGAGGCCAGTTTTTCCTTGTTGCACCCCCACCCCAGACCCCAGTCTCAATCTGGAGTTCAGCCTGGGCAAGAGTGTGGTGGTAGGTGAGAGCAAGAGCAGAGTGACATTTGGCTTCTGGCATTGGGGGGCTGCTTGGGACTAAGGTGGAGGGGCAGGCCACAGAGGTGTTGTCAGGGCTCGTTTGCAGGGTCCTGGGACACGGGGGATTCCTGGGACCCGGAGAGTAGGGAGTTCTTGTTTCTGGAGAGCGGAAATAGGCCTTTTCCTGTGGAGCATCAATCTCAGGGGTCTCCCTGGAGGGGGTGACTATGCCCTCCCACACATCCCCAAGAGCAGCGTCCCTTAAGTAGCCTTTTCATTCATTCATTCGTTCATTCATTCATTCGTTCACTTGCTGACTCACCCACCGTCACCATTTGCTGAGATGAACTCACTTCGGGTCTTGTGCTAAAGGACCTTAGCAACGTGTCGGGCTCAACAGAAGCACACCTGTTCCACGGCCTGCACCTGCCACCGGGTCCCTGAGCAAGAGACCGAGGCCCCGGGCTTTGCCACCCCGCGGGGGGGATGGCGCCAGCAGCTCCCTCCTGGGGAACTAAAGACAGGAGATGATGCCTGCCCACAGTAGGTGCCGCAGGAAAGGGGCCTTCACGGTCACTGTGATTATCACCGGTATCATTTTGAGGTTCCTCCGGGCTGGGCCGGGAGCTGTCACTGGCCCCAAGGCCCTGAGGCCTCACTTCCTCTCAGGGGTTTCAGCCACCTCAGCCCCCATCCCTCCTTTTCAAGGACTGTCCTCTCCCGCTGTCTCTGGCTTCTGGATGCAGCAGTGAGCCCTTCAGGAAAAAGCAAGAGATGGGACGCAGCTTAGAGCGGCCTCTGGAAGGTGGGGCTCGGGCCTGGCCCCCTCGAACCTGCAGCGTGACCTGGAGCTCGTCCCTTCCTGCCCTGGGCCTCAGTTTCTCCAGTTGTACAGTGAGGGTGTGGGGCTGGACATCCTCCATGCCCTGGAAGGGGCCTTTCTGTGTGTCATCCTGTTAGTAACGGTTTAGCTCCGAGCCTATAATCACATCTGCCCTGGGAAGAACTAACACAGCGTTTCTTTAAATTGGGCTCTAATTGCGGCTTTTAGTGGAGTCAGATGCTCCCCTCCCCCAGCTGCTCTCCTCCCCCAGCTGCTCTGAACCAGGGAGATTGTCCTGGCCTGCTCTGCCAGGCCCTGGGATCTCCTGGATTGTTCTAGCTGTCACTGAGCTGGCGACGGGTCAGGAACTAATCTCTCTCGAGGACCTACTGTGTGTCCCGCCCCTGAGCCAGGTGATTTTTCCATCCAGAGGACTCTGGGTCATCTCGCTACCGCTGTGGGCAGCAGGGGCCACTGGAACCACTTTTCAGAGAGGAGGCTGAGGCACAGAGAAGTGTAGTCACTTACCCAAGGCTGCTCAGCTAGGATGTGGCAGAGGCCGGATTTGAACCCAGATCTGTTGGATTCCAGGGCTTTGTTCTCAGCCTGCAGCTGAGGAGACGCGCCCTACCCCAGCTCAGTCAGGCCGCCCTCCTGGGGGCCCTGCAGGGGCAGCCGGCATCGCCAGGGCCCCCTGGTCGCGGCCTTCTCTGTCCACACGTGACCACAGCCGTTCTGCTTCTTCCCTGCCGGTTGGGACTGGAGGACAGGGTGTCGGTGGACGTGGCCAGAGGCCTCCCCCCTTGCCTCGGGCGGGGCAGGGGCCGCGGTTTCCCTGTTTGTTCTAGAGATCCCAGCCGCTTCCCTGAGGAGACAGCTAGTGGTTCCCAGGCCACAGCCCCTCGGGTGGAGCCAGACCGCGGCTGGCCGGCCTGGGAGCACTGCCCGCCAGCCCCATGGGGCTCTGCCAGGCCCTGGCGCTGGGTGGTCTGGGCAGGGGCCAGGAGGGGCCTCGATTTGGGCCGCGGGACAGGAGCCAGGATTGGAGTCAGGCTTGGGGCTGCCCTGCTGGGGACTGGAGGGGTCCTGAAGGCTGGGGATGGCTGGCCAAGGGGTAGAGGCAGGCATGGGGCGAACCCTGCCTTGTGGGGAGCCCAGGAGGGAAGGCCCCAGGCCCTGGTTCCATCGAACAGCCCCAAGAGAAACATCCAGCCCCTTCAGGATTGTCTCCGTGGAATGGCTTCAACTCAACCAATGAGGTGGTTCAGGCAGGAGCCTACTTAGAGGCTGGTGGAGAAGACAGGGTGGCAGGCAGAAGGCTAGATCTCAGCTCTGCCCTCCTCTGGACCTCAGTTTCTCCATCCTCACAATGGGGAGGGGACAGGACTCCATGTTTGACAAGAGCCAGAGCTGGGTAGGCAGTAGTTGGGGGGTGGGTAGCCCAGACTGGAAGGATCTCAGTTGTTCCTGGATTCATTTCCAGAAGCTTCTGGAACTACCTCCTTCACCCCTCCGCCCCTCCCCCCCAGCTCCACACACTTTGGAGGAAACCCAGAAGTGAACACCTGCTGGTTTTGGAGTCTGCTGGACCCCAGTTCAAATCCCGACCACTGGCTGGCTGTGATCTTGGGCCCATCATGTTCTCTCTGTGCCCTGCAGCTTTAAATACTGCCATGACCTCCTTCCTTACGTCTCTAGCTGAGTTACCCACTGAACTCCTTCCCAGCTACCCATGGGCACATCCACCCCCAAGTCAATGGGTATCTCTAAGCCAACGTGATCCAAACCACTTCTCTATTTTCTCTCCGAATCTGTTCCCCCATATCCATAAATGCACTCCTCTTAGGTGCCCTGGCCGAAAGCTCAGGGGGCGTCCCTTGTTCCCCCAGTTCCTCTGCTCCCCACATCCAGTCCCTCAGCAAGCCCTGCTGGCTTTAACTCCCAAACTTGTCTGGGATCCAGCTGCTTCCCGCCACCACCACCACACTTAGCTGGTCCAAGCCACCACCACCTCCACCCCCAGCATCAGCCAAGTGTCCAGACTGCCTCCAGCATCCCCTCCTGGTGTGTCCGGTCCTTCCTCTGCACGGCGGCCACAGTGATCCTTCCAAAGCATAAACTGGACCACATCTGCCTCTGTGTGTGAGCCATTTTACTGTGTGACTTCAGCTTGGTGTCTGACTCTTTCTGGGCGCCAATCCTGAGCTTGGTCTGGGAGACAGTGGAAAGAGGCCTGTTGCCCCAGGACATCCCTCAGGAGCGGAAGGCAGACAAAGGGCACACCGAAACTTATGGATATCAGGATCTGCTCTTGCCTGGGGAGCAGGCTGTGGGAGGCAGAGGGGTGAAAGGTCACATCTCACACTCCTCCACATCCTGCCTCGAGGGACCCTCCTCCACTCAGCCCCAGCCAATAGTCCTCAGGACACAGCCTCTCAGCTGCCATTGTTTCCCAACCAGGTGACCTCAGTGGGCAGGAGCCTAATCACAGGGCCCTCAGCCAGGGTGAGCAAGCCCAGGCTGCCCTCAGAGGCCCCGGAGCCACCCCGCGGGGGAGGGGGGGAGGAGCTCTGCTGGTGGCCCACGGGCATTCCCCACCAGGACAAGGGCACAGGGTCTCCGCCCTGTGAAGTCCCACCCCTGCCACCTTTGCAGTGACATTCCTGACCCAAGGGCTGCTCCTCCCCTGGCCCAAGGGAGGTCTGGGCGTGGCTAGGGCAAGCGGCCCTTACTTAGCCCTCCATCCCTCGGTGGTAGTAGTGTGACTTTGCAGAAAGTCACCAATTTCTCTCTGTTTCCGTGTCTTCATCTGTAAACCAGAGGCAGAACCGGTCCTGCCCTCTGGGAGTGGTGGGGACGCTCAGAGGCTACGTGTGCTGTGAGGCACGAGGAACGGTGCCCAGAGCAGTGCCCAGAGCCCGGGGGCACCACAGAAGTGCTCGCCAGGTTGCCCCCCACTTGGGTTCCCGCTACCTCAATTGTAGGCCTCTGTTCCAGCCGGTGGGAGGGACAGGTGGCCGTGGCTGGTGGTGGACCCGAACCTGCCTGCCCCCTGCTCGGCTGGTGGGGCTCAAGTGTCCACCCTGTCCCGAGGCCGGTGCAGATGGGTGAGGAGCCAGGAGGGGGCCTGGAGTCGTGAGGGCACAGCAGCGCACGGACACCCCAGGGAGCCACCCAGAAACTAGGGAGCCCGAATCCTCTTCTAAGAACTTAATCCCCCAGCCCACCGTCCCCACCCCCTGATCGGCTGGCGCAAGAACTTGGTGGGAGGTCTTGGGTTACAGCCACCAGGGCTAATTATAAACTCTGCTGGCGTGGGGCTCTTACTACCCCATTGAAGGGCTTCTGCGGCTGATGGGGCCAGGCTTGTTTTCCTGGGAAGGATTAGCACCCAGAGGCCAGGGAGGGGACATGGGCTGGGAGTCAGGCACACCTAGGTTCAACTTGCAGCTGTCTCTTACACGCCACGGGCCCCGAGCAGGTCACTGCGCTCTGCCAAGCCTCCCCTTTCTCATCTGCAAAATGGGGATGATACTGCCTACCTCACAGGATGGTGGGCTCAGTGTAGGTGACAAATGTGCCCTCAGGCTGGCAACTTCACTGCCTTGTCTTGGGTGCTTCGATGGGCGTGTGGTGCAGAGTTGGTGTGTTGCTCTCTCCATCCCTCAATATCAGAGCAGCCCGTTTGCTGATGACCCAGTTGCCCACGTGCTGCTCCAACAGCCTTCTGGACAAGTAGAAGCTGGGACTCTCAGGCACACGTTTGGGGTTTGCTCCCCCTCCTCGTCTCCATGCCTCTCCAGCTTCTCCAGCCTGGTCCACTGTTGCAGTTTCCTTGGGCAGCCAAGATGATCTTTCAAAAATGATGCTCACTCCCGGCTCCAGAACCTTCTATGGCTCCCCAGAGTCTTCATTGTTCACCTCCAGCTTCTTGGAATGGCATTCGAGACCTTCCTGCCCGTCTGTCTCCACAATGTCTCCTCTGGAATCCTCTCTGTGCCCTCACGTTCTGCCCCAGTGCCCGTCCACCGTGCCCCCTGCTGGTTAGGTGCCCCCTCGCCAGCCCCCGCAGTTCCTTGCTCGCCTCTGCACTGGGATTGCTTCTGGCAATCTCTGTGGTGAGATATGAGCTCTCTGGGGACAGAGCCGCGGACCGCTCACAGGCACAGTATAGATAAAACAGGGGTTCCGAGTTCCGTCTCCACCAGGACCGGAGGGGTAGCGTCTGCCGAAAGGGACTTAGTGTGAGTTCCGCCAGTGCTGGGGACGGTGGCACACAGGAGAGCCACACGCTGGGCGGGCAGCCAGCTCGGCTCAGATCGGCCATCGCCCCGCAGAAACATGCAGCGGTGACGGCCAGAACTTCTAGTTTTTCGAAAAAACCGCGAGTCCAAATATCATGTGACATGAAAGCTCCCAATGTTTTACAACACCGTGAGGCTGTGCAGTGAGGTCTGGGGGGCGGGTGAGCCTAAGCCCCGAGCGTCAGTAATGCTGAGGTTGACTACCTGCCCCAGCGTTGGCATCACTCAGCCTGTTTCGCAGCTGGGTGGGGTCATGTGACCGGTTCTTACGAGGGAACCATGAGTTGAGGTGATGCGTGTCACTTCCAGGAAGAAGTGGTTAAAAAGAGGGTCCCTCATCCACGTGCTGCTCAGACAGAACCTCATTAGTGCTGGTGAGAGGGAGCATCCGGGACTTGGAGGAGACAGAGCCATGAGGTGGAAAGAGCCTGGGTCCCCGTCGCCCAACCAGAGGCACCACCAGATGTTGGAGACAGAAATAAACGTACTGTGTTAAGTTCTGGGTTTATCTTTAACGGAAGGCAGGGTTATCTGGATGCCTAGAAGTGGACTTGCCATCCTTCCTTTGTTCTGGAAACCCTTGTGCTGCGGGTACTGCCATTCAGGTGTAGAAATGGAACGGCAGCAAGGTGAAAGGACTCGCCCCAATGCGGAGACACGACAGCGCAACGGGGCAGAGACGTGCCCCCCGTCTCTCCGACTCACAGTCCAAGCTTTACAGCCTCCTCTGTGTATCGCAAAGTTAAACAGATGCTACTGGTGTCCCGTTTGTATCCCCCGAGCATTTACCGCCCCAGCTCTCGCCTGCAGGCTTTGTCTCAGCCCTTCAAGGCAGGTTGGAAGTACCAGGCTGTCCTCTGTCCAGGAGCAGCCCCTTAGCCGATGGAGGATGAGACTTGGTGAATAAACGCCACAGCAGGACGATGGAGGTGGTTGGCCCTGGTTGGCCCTGATGGCAAGCTGCTTCATAACTTACCTTTAATCAGCTTCCTTCCTTTTCCTGTCCCACTTCCTCACTCTCCGCCTGCTGCCTTCTGGGTTCCTTTTACAAGCCACTCATGTGCAAATCCTTTTCTCAGGGCCTCTGCCTTTGGAAAACCCAACCCAAGACACAAAGCATGGCTTGCACATCCCGGAGACGCACAAGTTGATTTTGGGGGGTGCGCTGGTGAACTTCGTGAAAACTCGACTGCTCCCGTGTGGATTTAAACAATTGTTTAGGAAATAATAGTAGAGATAAAATAAAAATTGTGAAGGGGATAGGAGGTGTCCTTTTACCCTGGCCAGGATGTAGGCATGTAGTTTTAGTTTTTTTAATGTTTATATATTTATTTTGAGAGATAGAGGGAAGGAGAGAGGGAAGGGAAAGGGCAGAGAGAGGGAGACAGAATCCTAAGTAGGCTCCACACTCAGCACAGAGCCTGACATGGGGCTTGAACCCACAAACTGATCATGACCTGAGCCTAAATCAAGAGGCAGATGCTTAACTGACTGAGCCACCCAATGCCCCCTAGTTTTTTTTTAAGCTTTTTTGGTAAGTTCGTTTATTTTGAGAGAGAGAGAGAGTGCAAGCAGAATAGGGACAGAGAGAAGAGAGATTCCCAAACAGGCTCCACACTGTCAGTGCAGAGCCCGATGTGGGGCTTGAACCCACAAACTGTGAAATCATGACCTCAGCTGAAATCAAGTCTGATGCTTCACTGACTGAGCCGTCCAGGCACCCCCAGGCGCCCCGTAGTTTTACTTTTCTCTCCCAGCATCGCTGTAGCTGGACTCCTTTTGGCCAGCACTGCCAGAAAGTTCAGACAGAAATCAACCCGATTGCATTTTCTCCCTGCAGAATGGCGCACTTGTGACGTGGTTTCTCTTCTTGCTGAGTTCATGTTTGACTAGGGTGTGTTGAGTCACTAGTATGGGCTGCAGGAGAACACTGTCAGGAGGTTGGAAATGTATTATAAACAAAGGAAGTCATTAAGTATAGGGGCTTTGGAATCGGACGCACATGGATTCAAATCCCAGCCCCACCACTTGGAGGACCTTGAGCAATCACACCACGTCTTGCACCCTTGGTTTCCTTAACCTATAAATGTGGGTGGCAGCGGCCTACTTCCTAGTGAGGGTTCAATGAAACTGAATCTATATAAAGCACCAAGCACAGAGCTTGTTGGGATGGTTTAATTGTTATGATTATTACCATTATAGGGACTATCATTCCAATGAGGCAAGGGGCAGACCTGGGGAACCCCGTATCCCCTAATATCAGGTGCAACCCTGAGGCCAATACTCAGGCCGGATAATCAGGAATGGAAAGATCACCATCACCAAGCTAGGCCGAAGCTCTGTGAGGGCAAGGACACTAAATTCGTAAGAAGGGTTAGGGGCACCAACCCCCTGCATAGTAAAAAACCCGTGTCTAATTTTTGATCCCCCCCAAATTTAACAAATAGCCTCCTATTGACTGGAAGCCTTACTGATAACATAAAACAGTCAATTAACTGTTAACATAAATGTTAACAATGGACATATTTGATATTATATATGCAATATGTACTGTATTCTTACAATAAAGTAAGCTGGAGAAGAGGAAATGTTATTAAAAAAAAAAAAAACATGAGGGGCGCTTGGGTGGCTCACTCAGTTGAGCATCTGACTCTTAATTTCAGCTCAGGTGATGATCTCACAGTTTGCAGGATCGAGTCCTGCATCAGGCTCTGCGCTGACAGCGTGGGGCCTACTTGGGATTCTCTGTCTCCCTCTCTCTCTCTGCCCCTTCCTCTCTCTCTCAAAATAAGTAAACTTCAAAAAAAAAAAAAAAACAGTAGCATCTTTTAAAAAAGGAAAAGAAAATCATAAGGAAAACACATTTACCAAACTGTCCTTATCCAAAAAATTCTGCATGTAAACGGACCCATGCAGTTTAAACCTGCCTTGCTCCAGGGTCAGCTGGATTCGCTGAATGAATGAATGAACGAATGAACAGCTCCACTGGGCCAGGGCATGGAGCTCTGTCCGTCGAGCTGTGATGCAAGAGTGACACAGGGCCGTGGACGGCCTTCTTGCTGTGGGTTTCAGGGCCCAGAGGCATACTTCTCTCTCACAGCAACCCAGACTGGACTGTGTCTCATTTTATAGCTAAGAAAACTAAGACACAGAGATACGAAGCAGTTTGTCCAAAGTCACGCAGCTAATGAGTGATGACGCGCCCCCCCCCCCCCGCCCCGCGTCAGCAGGACGCCTCTCCCCCCCGCCCCACCCCACCTGTACTCCCGGGCCGGAGTCCAGCTCTTCCCCCAGAAACAAGCTTGTTTCATTCTCTTCCTCACTGACCACAGAGACTCAGTTCTGTCCTCAGAAATATTTGGAAAGTTTTATTTAAATGTTTTGTGTTCCCTTTTAACCAACACCAAAAAGAGAAAAAAAAAAATTGCTATTCCAAACAGGAGTGTCGAATCAGAGAGGAGTGGGCATGTGTGTTAAGAGCCGGGATGTGTCTGCCTGTCCAGGTGGCTCTTGCCAGCCCGGGTCACCCTGGGTTGGATGGCCCATCCCAGTTCGCTTCCTGGGAGCCCCTGACGGCCTTAGAATGAGTGAGCAAACCCCCATCCTGCGGGGGAGCTCTCGGTCTCCCCTGCGGGTAGGGACATGAGCATGATGGGGCCTGGTGATTCCAGGAGGGGAGGGGAGTGGGAAGGTCAGATCCGGAATGTTCCATGGAGGCTTTAGGGCCTCCAGGCCTGGAGAAATATGTTTGCTAGAAAAATAAGATGCTTTGCGAATTCCGGCAGTCTGTGTTCTCTGCCTGCCCGAGACAGACCTACTCTGCTGGCCAAAGGGGCAGCGGGGGAGGGGAGCAGAGGCTGGAGGCCAGGAACGGGTCTGGTGCCAGTGGAGGGTTCCAGAGGGGAGCCAGGCGGGCGGCAGACTTTGGTTTCCTGGGTCCTCTCTCTGGCAGCTGTTGAGGCTGTGAGGGCCCCTGAGGTGTGGCTCCCAGGTGGCGGGCCGCGCTGAGAGAGGGAAGCTGGCCGTCTGTCACAGGCAAGTGGGTGCCTGGGCAGTGGGCCCTCAGAACAGGATGCCCAAGGCGGGCAGGGACAGCAGGAGGAACAGGGGGCCTGGAGAAGGGCCACCCGCCGAGCTGGCCGAGGCACAGTGGTCAAGGTTGGCACCGATGCAGGCGGCGTAAGCCATCACGTGGGGAATGTAGTTCTGCTCGTGGACGCCATGCAGCAGGTGCGCCATGGGACCCTTGGCGAAGACCGCTACGTCCTCGCCGCCGTGGGTCTCGTGACGCAGGGGCACGGCAGACTGCGCCTGGTAGTTGTTGTGGGCTGTGGGCCAGAAGGAGCACTCGCTGAGGGCTGGCACTTGGCAGCCACTCCTCCTGCCCTTCAGGCTGCCTCAGATGCCCACATTTTATAGAGGAGGAAACTGAGGCTCAGCGCAGGAAGTCATTCTGTGCAAGGCCACAGGATTCGGGCCTGAGTCCATTCTGACACAGAAGCCCGTACCCTCAACCCCCAGAAGAGAAAAGCTAACCTCAGTTGGAAACAGTCAACCCAGGAGAGCCTCTTACCATTGGCTGCAAGCCACTGGGGTCATCACGAACAAGTGAATATTCAACAATAGGGAACAGATGAGCACACTGAGAAGGCTCAGGGTTTGGAATATTATATACCCGGTAAAAACAGCAGCGTAACATAGAAGGCACTGCATGTGCCAGGCACCGCACTAAGCTCTTCCGACCCAGTTAGTCCTTCAGACAACCTTGGGAGCTAGAATTCTTTTACGGAGGGAAGGGAAGCTGCGGAAGACCACCTTGCATGCCCAAGGTGACAGAGCTGCTCAATCGTACAAGGGGGTTTGAACTGGGATTGCTCTTTGTCTACGGCCATACCACCCTGAATGCGCCCCATCTCATCTGAACTGGGATTGCTCTGACTCAAGTCCGGGCTCTTATAAGACCCCTGACCTTGGGGTCTCCAACAGGGAGCCTACAGGGTTGCCAGGCCCATGCCCAAGGGGCGCCGTGTCCCCTCCCCGCCCAGGACTTGGCAATCTCACCGTAGTCCACCATGGAGACGTTCTCTCGCTCACCGCCTACCACCTTGTAGCCAGGCCCGTTGCCGTACAGGATGGAGGTGAAGGGCTTCTTATCTGTGTCACTCACCATGGGGGCCAGACCTGCACAGGAGGGCATTGGCCCAGGAGTCACGTTGGAATCCCCAGGCCCCAGCCTGGCAACCCTCAAACCTCCTTTGAACTACCCCATGAAGCCACCTTCTAAACCTGACTTATTTCCAGCCAACCACCCTTCAGTTTTCACTGTGCCCACATCCCCCTCAGCTGTTGGTCCACCTGTCTGTCTGTCCATCCACCCATCCTCTCTCTCATTCTTCTATCTACCCGTCACGCAGGTAGCCCCCCATCCACCCATCAGTACCTCTCTGTCCTGCCCAATCCTCATGGATCCCACATGGGCCAGGGCCTGAGCTTGCTGGCTCTCCCCCCCTGCTCCTGCTCCCAGATGGGCAGCCCCTGGGAATGCCCAGTGCCCACCCCAGCAGAGGCCCACCTACCGAAGATAGAGTTGCCGCGGGGGGTATACCCGCCGAAGGTGAAGACGTGGGAGTGGTCCGCAGTGACGACGGTCAGTGTGTCTTCCAGGGACGTCATGGTGCCGGCCTTTCCGATCGCCTGGTCCATCTCCACCGCCTCATGCAGCGCCTGCTTGGCTTTGCCTTCATGATGCCCATGGTCAATCCTGCCTCCTTGAGACCCCGAGGCAGAGGGCTTGGGTGAGGGGAGGGAAGATCTGTGCCCCCAGGCCCCGCCACACTACCGCTGGATTAACCTTTCTTTGGGGGAACTGCCATGTGCCAAGTACCACACCGGGCGCCTTATGCACCATTCAACCTGTACAGCAGCTCAGAGAAGGCAGGTTTAGACTAAGGGCTCATGCACAGAGAGAGCCAGGCCAGATCCCCCTGACCGAAAACCCTGTGCTCTGCCTGTGACCCCACGCGGCTCTCAGTGCAGCGTCTTCAGCTGCTTAAAGGGGTCTGAGACCTCAGACAGAGAGGGGAACCAGCATGCCTGAGGTCTTACTGGGTGCCGGGCATAACAGACTGGTGCCTTGTTTCCCCGTAACAACAATCCTGGGCAGAAATGGGTAGTCGGCCCCATGTACAGATGGAGCGACTGAGGCCTAGGGGGCAGAAGTGACGTGACCAAGGTGGGAGGGATTTGAATGCAGGCATTCTCGGTGCCCCTGGTAAGCCTGTGCCACCTCTCCTGTATGAGCGCAAGCCTGGCTTTGAGCCTGTCTTAAAGGTCAGGGCTCAGGGCTACATGACCTGAGGGGACCCCTCCTTGTCTCTCACAAGAGGAAGATGCCTGAGTGGACACTCCCAACTCTGAGGGTCCTGAGCTGGGGCGTGCGGCCGCCCTCCCTTCCCACTGGCCTGAGCCTCGCCCCTCTGGGCTGGCAGGCTGGCGGGGTGGGTCCTCCCTTTGCTGTGGCTCTGGGAGCAGTCACAAAGAGAAACGCTCCCAGGGGAGCCGGCGCTCACCACCGTCGGTTCCTGGCTGGATCCTTGGCGTCAGAGGCCTGTTCGGGCCAGGCTGAGACCTGCCATGCTCGAGTGGGAACCCTGGGGTTTGGCGAGAAAGCAGCCAAGCCGGCTTGGCGGCCACTGGCCTCTGGAAGGCAGAGGGGCCTGAGTGTGTGTATGTGTGGTGAGGGTGAGAGAGAGAGAGAGAGAGTGTGTGTACCTATAGAGTTCAGTGAGGCAACATCAGGAACCACAGAAGACAATAGCTATTAGAACTTTGGAAGATTCCGGAAACTTTAACACTTCCTCCCACTTCCTATTGTTATTAACTTAGCTATTGTGTAATCATAATAATGGTAATAATAGAAACACGGAAGATTTATTCTCTGTTGGATCCTGTTCCAAGTACTTTATGTCTCTGAACACGATGGATGCTAACAACCCTTCTGAGACTATTTTTGGCCTCATTTTACAGAAACGTACAGGTAGAGGCCAGCAAAGAACCCAAGCCTGACTCCAACGCCTCCCCACAGCGCTGGGAGACCCTGTGAACATTGGCACACAGCACTGCTAACGCCCAATGTTCCGGCTCTCCCAATCTGGGGACCTGGGACGTCCCAGCACCTGCCCTGGGCCTTCTCTCAGGCACAGGACTCGTGAGTCTGACGTCAGCCCCACACGTGCCTGGTAACAGCTACCTGCCATCCAGCTGAGGGCTCCCGCAGACCGATGGGCATCTGCGGACGAGGCCCCTGGGCCTGTTCCCTGAGCCCAGCCAGGCAGCCGCTCAGATGCAGAGGTCTATAAGGGCCTGCTAATTTGTCTTTTGGGAGGAGTGAAGCTCAGGGGCCTCAGGGAAGGAGGCTCCTGGGAAGTCTTCCTGGACTAGTGAGCCGGACGGGCCATCCTCATGCCCAGAGGAGATGTTGGGCTGAGGGCTTTCAACACCTGTGCGTACCCTATCTTCCCCAAAAGGAGTCTCCTTCTCCCCAAAAGCAAGACAGTTGTCTTTGAGAGTTGGGCTACCCCATCCCCCGACCCCAGGGCCACCCCTCTGCAAGCTCCCAGGGAAGGGGCCCCCGCAGCCAGGCCTGGGGTCCTACCTTCCACCAGCAAGAAGAAGCCTTCAGGGTTCCTATTCAGGATCTTGATGGCAATCTCCACCATCTCGGAGAGTGACGGGTCAGTCGTGCTATTCCTGTTCAGCTCGTACTGCATGTCCCCCGGCTCAAAGAGACCTGAGGGGAACACAGAACGGCGTGGAGGGTGAGTTCTCACACTCTGCAAGGAGGGCCCCCAAGGAGCCTGCGCTATCTCCGGGAACACAGGTGCAGACATACGCCTTGGAGTTAGAGTTTTGAGAATGCTGCCTCCTTTTACCTTTGCAGCCATGCTATGGTGAGAGGCTCACCAGAGTCCACTTCACAGAGAAGGAGACTGAGGCACAGGCGCTCAACAGCTTGTCATCTTCGGCTGCTAAGTGGGAGATCTGGCACTTAAACCCATCAGCCCAGCCCCAAGCCTGAAGGGCTCCAGTCATAGTACCACAGCCCCCAGGTGGAGAGCACGGACCCAATGGGGCAGCTTGCGTGTGCACTTACATGTCATTTACAGGTCAGGCGTGAAGGGCGTGGTGCCCCGTGCCGTAAAGGTTTGGCTCGCTGTCATTTCTGTTCACTGAGCTTGGTTTTTCTCAGTTGTGAAATAAGACTGATCCATTCTTTGTCCACATCACAAGATTCCACGTATACCGGGGTGGTGTTTCTAGCCCTGGATGTTCTTTGAAAATGTCTTGCCTCTTCCTTGAGTGTAGGCACAGCCAAGCAAGAGCTCTAATGGGGGCGCCTGGGTGGTTCAGTCGGTTGTGCAGCCAACTTCGGCTCAGGTCATGATCTCGCGGTTCATGGGTTCGAGTCCCACATCAGGCTCTGTGCTGACAACTCAGAGCCTGGAGCCTGCTTGTGATTTTGTGACTCCCTCTCTCTCTGTCCCTCTCTTGCTCACACTCTTTCAAAAGTAAATAAACGCTAAAAAATTTTTAAAAATAAAATAAAAGAGCTCTAATGAAGAGGACACTCACCGTGTACCCCAGGCCATCCTAAGTGCTCTGGAAGCATAGAGGTGCCAGCCTCCAAGATGGCGCCCAATAATCCCTGTCTTCTGGAATTCATGCCCTCGTGTGTCCCCTCCTAACTAAGACTATCCTGTGTATCCAATAGAATACTGCAGAAATGATGGTACGTGACTTCATGACTTCCAGGCCAGGGCATAAAATGCTACAGCCTTAGCTGTGCACACTCTTCTGAGGGAAGCCAGTCACCATGTTGTAAGGACTCTTCAGCAACTCTCTGGAGAGCTCCATGTGGGAGGAACTGAAGCTTCCTGACAACAGCCTGCGCTGACTTGCTAGCCATAGGAGTGAGCCATTCTGGAAACCTGGCCCCAGTCAAGCCTTCGGATGACTGCAACCTCATGAGAGATCCAGCTAAGCTGCTTCCAAATTCCCAACCCCCAGAAACTGTGTGAAGTAATAAATGTTAACTCTTGTTTTAAACTGTTAAGTTTGGAGATCGTTTGTTACACAGTAACAAGTGATTTATTTATTTTTTAAATGTTTATTTTTTAGAGAGAGAGACAGAGCACGAGTGGAACAGGGGCAGAGAGAGAGAGAATCCGAAACAGGCTCCAGGCCCTGAGCTGTCAAGCCCGACACGGAGCTGGAACTCTGGAATGGCGAGATCATGACCTGAGTCGAAGTCGGACGCTCAATAGGCCGAGCTACTCAGGTGCCTCAACAAGTAATTTACGCAATGCACTGGCTCAGGGCTCATGTGTACTCGTGGCAAACCTGAGGTAGACCCCATCATGAGCCTCATTTTACAGAAAAGTCATTATTCCTACTTTACAAAAGAGAAAACTGAGGCACAGAAAGGAGAAATGTCTTGCTCATGGTTACAGAGCTTATATGTGGTAGAGTGGGATTTGAACCCAGCACTCTGGCTCTAAGATCCATGAGGGGCCTGTTGTGCTGCATGGGCACACGCATAACTCCACACATGCTGTATGTGGTACAGGGTGTGTGCCGTGTGACCCAGGCAAGCAGAGGGCTATGTGTGTTTGTGTGTGTGTGTGTGTGTGTGTGTCTAGGGGACCCTCCCAGGTGCCCGGCTCTGAGCATATAGCCTCCCATGATGCACCCAGGACCTAGAGATGTGCTCCTTGGGAAAGGTTTGTAGGAAATTTTGCCACCACTCACTGGGCACAACAGCCAGGTGGGAAAGGGGCCCCAGGCATTGACATGGTGGTGCTCAGGGCCTAGTTCCCCCTCGCCAGGGCCCTGACGCTCCCCACTCCCCGGGGGACACCCCCCAGTCAAGACCAGCAGAGACAACAGGGCTGGCTTCTGCCCGGGCCACACAGTGGGGCTGGTTCTAGGCCCCCCGTCCCAGGCAGGGTTTGGATTTACCTGGGCCCTGATGTTAACGAGCTGAGTGGCACGCCACAGGTCCCTTGCCCAACCTGGGCCTTACTTTCCCCTTGCGTTCAGTGGAACCATTCACTCTGCACAGCCAGCAGATTTCAGGCCCGATTCTATGAACCAGAACCCCTTACTCACCTCTCCCAGGCCCTAGACCTGAGAGCAAAGGTCCCTGAGAAGAGGGAAGGCTGGGACCTTGGCCCCTCGGGTGCTGGACTCACAGCCCCAGCCCCAGGGCACCCAGCTGGGTGTCCTCCACGGGGCACCCTCCACTTACCCAAGAGGTAGTCCACGCTGGAGGGGTCTAGGGTCAGGAGTTCGGTGCGGTTCCAGACATAGTGGGAGTGCTAGGAGGAAAGGCCAGGGTCAGCCAGGTGGGAGCTGGGGGGCTGGGAGGGCTGACGCAGCTGGTCGCGGGGACGGGGTGTGTATTTGTTTCCTTCAGTCATTTACTAACCCCTCCCTGAGGACCCCCCATCTCTGCCTTCAAGAACTAACATACAGGCAATTCTAATGTAAGGGAAGAGAATTCTGAGAGACCAAGGGGGCACTGTGGACCCAGAGGCAAAATCAGGGAGGGCCTCCTGGTAGAGGTGATATCCTAATGGGGCCCTTGAGGACAAGAAGCCATTGATTAGCCTGGGGTCAGGGAGGAGAGTTTCAAGTAGCAGGGAGGGATCACAGAGCCAAGAAGAGGAAGCTGCAGGTCACCAGAGGCCATGAGCACCCACCAAGGGGTGAGGGCCGTGTGTGTTCTAGAAGCTGTGGAGAGCTAAGGATAAAGTGAAGCCCTAGGTCTCCCCCAGGGACCTCACCTAAGAGGCTGATAAAGGAAGTGTTGCTTCCCCAGGACAGAGGCCGCAGGAAGAGGCTGCCTGCCTTAATTGGAAATGCCACCACTCAGCACCAGGGCTGGGACCACGATACTGCCAGGAATCAGCTGTGCATCCTCAGGACAGCCCCTTGCCTTCTCTGGGCAATGGCATTGGGGTCTGTTGGTTTTGGAGCCTCAGTGGCCGTTAGGGAAGGAGGGCGGGAAGGCTGAGGAAGTGGGGTTCCCCACCCCGGCTTTGCTGAGCTGTGTCAGCCCTACGAAGAAGATACTGTTATTCTCATTTTGCAGACAAGGATATGGAGACCCAGATGACAGAGCCACTCAGTGGTGAAGGGGAGTCTGACTTCAGCGGCCACTGGTAAGGCATGATTTTCCAGGTACCTATGGCCTGCCTGGGACCCCACAGGGACACCCTGGCCCATTCGTTGAGTGGTGTGGCTCCTATCTCTCCCTCTTGGAGTCTAGACTGAGCTCTGGGATTAAGCACCTGCTCGGGCTAGAAGGATTAAAACCCCACGTCCCACATAAAGAAATTGAGGCTGGGAGGGGCAGTGACTCTCTGGCTTGGGCCAGGAAGGGGCTACGGCCAGGCCAGAGCTGGCTCAGAGGAATGGAAAAGGTTCAAAGCGGTGCGGTCCCACCCTCATCTACCCTGGGGGGGCCATCCCCAGGCCCCAGCCCCCACCTCGCTCTTGGCCTAGCCCCATCCCACAAGGCCTCCCTGGGGGCCAGTCCTGGAACCCTCAGAAACCCAACCCCAGAGTGACATCAAAGTGGCTCCCAGGCTGCTCCCCACTGTCTTCAGCCCTGACCACAGTCATTTCCAGACCCCAGCTGCCCCAGGCCCGGCGGCTGCCAGAGCCACTCCAGGGAGCCAGCGCTCAGGCCCTTCCAGTGCTCCAGCCTCCCGTCCCCAGCACGTGCCCTACCCAGGGCCAAAGCCAACTCACGATGGAGGGCTTCCACCTCACACCATGGCTTGCACACTCCCCTCCTCCTCCTCAAGGCTTCTCAGTCCCTCCCTGTGGTCGGTCCCCCTGGGTTCCCGTAGGTCCTGGGCTTCCAGCCATCCAAGCACACAGATCCACATTCCCTTGACCATCTGATTCATCCCTTGGAATTCATGCCCAGCGAGGGACCCCACACACAGTAGGGGCTCAAGTGGCCTGAATGTCAAAACAGGTGACTCCGTGGCCCCCCTTCTTCACTGCCTAGCACTCCTGGGTGCCCTCTTCTGAAGGGAGGGATTAATTGACCACCTATTATGTGCCATTCATGTATCTGATAGATCATTTGAGTCCCATCAAGGTAAGAATTATGACACCCCTCCCACCCAGTTACAGAGGAGAAAACTGAGATTCAGAGAGAGGTTCCCCAGAGCCCCATCCCTACAGCCAGCTGGCCCCTGAATGGGTTACCTTGTGTTTGGGTTTGAAGCTCTTCCAGATGTCAATGAGGTTCAGGCCGTCCAGCCTCGTGCCCCTGGCCTTCTCGTCCATCTCATACTCCACATCAGTTCTATTCTTGGGGAACATGTACTTCCGGCCACCCCCCATAATCACCTAAAGGGGACGGCAAACATCAGTATTCCAGGGACCCAAGCCTCAAGAGCTGGGCTCCTAGAGGCACTGGGAATAGTGTGGATGCTTCTCCAGCTTGGAGAGTCCTGGGTTCGGTCCACACTGCCTACCCTGAGCCTCTACTTTTTCATGTGGGGAGATGAAATCATAAGTATATTGGGACTATAGTTTGGAGCTTCTGGGTGACATATTGGAGGTACTGGTAACTTCTCCTACCTGGCTGTCTAGAAGCCTGACTCAGCCCCCACTCGTGTAAGATAACACATCTACAGAGCACTCAACCGCATCATGCCAGGCACTAAACACTTCAGATACATTATCTTAAAAAGATTTTCTTAACGTTTATTTTTGAGAGGGGGGAAGGGCAGAGAGAGAGAGAGACACAGAATCCGAAGCAGGCTCCAGGCTCCAAGCCGTCAGCACAGAGCCTGACGCAGGCCTCGAGCTCACAGACTGTGAGATCATGACCTGAGCCGAAGTCGGATGCTTAACTGACTGAGCCACCCAGGCACCCCCTTCAGATACATTATCTTAATCCACTTCATACCAAGGCTGCAAGGGAACCTGCGTCCCCATTTTCCAACTAAAGAAATGAGAACAGAAATGGGCGATTCTTCCTTAAGGCCACACAGCAAGGGCCACGGCCAGGATTCGATGGTGAGGCTTCCCTGACCCCAGCACTGGGGCCCTGGTGCATCTGCAGAGCCAAGGACAGGGCCTCGGAGAGCCTCATCTCCCCTGTGGGAGGCAGAAGGCCGCAGGCGAGAGGCCCCTGCCAGGGAGGACTCGGGACAGCCCCGCTGGAAGCCTGGGCGCACAGTGGCCAGTGCTCCTGTCTGTGTAGTCCCCGCCAGGCTAATTTTACTCACCACGGCTGGCGTGTGCGGGCGGACGGACGCGGGACTGTTTGTTTTCCTTGGGAGTCCATGTTTGAAGTCCTGACTATTTTTAAAATAGGGCCAAGAACATAACAGCCGCCGCCTGCGGCGACTGCCACCCCGGTGTCCTCCTGTCACCGCGGGCGCCAGGCCAGGCCGCCGCCCCTCAACACCTTGGGAGAGCAGAACCCAGCTATGAGTGGCCTCGGCTCCTCCATCCCAGGCCTGGCATTTCCTAGTACTGTTCTCTCCCTTCCGCTTCATTCTCTCCTCAGAACACAGGGGTCCGGGCCGGACAGAAGAGGTGGGGGAGACGCCCATGGCCACCCTGGGTCATGGGGAGCTGGAAAGGGCACGGGCTTGGAAATCCAACTTGGGTTTGACTCTGACTCTTGCTTACTGACCAAGGGCCTGTCACTTACTCTCTCTGAGCCTCAGTTTCCTTATCTGTAAAATGGAAGTAACACTCACCCACAGGATTGCTACAGAAGGAAATGCAGTGACGCGACAGAGTCCCAGCACCCAGGGGCAGCCCTGGGGGACAGTGTTCCCACTACCAGAGGTAGTGGACATCGGAGTATTTCCAGACAGGCGAGTTCCTCACTGTCAGCCCCAGCCAGGAGCTCTGGGGGCGGGGCGGCTGCGAGGGGAAGGAGAGGGGACCCTGGGTCACTGGCCCCGGCTCCCCACCCCTGTTCCCACAGAACCTGACCCCTTGGCATTTTCAGAGTGGAAAATGAAGCCCCCAATCTTCTTGCCTGGAGCCTCATCATTTCCAGCCCCAGCAGGGACTTCACACGCTCATTAAACTCCCAAATAACAGACTTGCTGTTTGGCTTTGGGGTTTGGGTTTGTGTCTTTCTTTCTTTCTTTCCTTTTTTTTTTTTTAGCAAAAGATATTTATTTTCAGGGCGGACACCAGGAGTTGTGTTTCATGTGCAGCCTGGGGGCTGGGGGGCTTTGGGGAGGTGGAGATGCAGGAACGGACGGGACAGCAAAGGGGGAGAGAAGAGAGGGGGGAGGGCAGTCTTCACCCTGTCCTGCCTCTTCGCTCGTGCCCCAGCTCATCCCCCAGAGGCCCGAGGACCCCTGTCCACCCTCGCCCCGTGGAGAACTCTCCCCTAAGCTCCTGTCCCCCTCTCAGGCTGTTCCTGGCACATCTCCCCAAGGAGCAGCCCCGTAATTACACCCTGCACTTGTACAACAAATGTTCTCACATCCATGACCTCATCTCGGCCTCCAGTGGCCCTGGGAGGGGGCAGGTGGGGCTCTCTATTCTTGTTGCACAGGTGGGGAAACTGAGGCTTAGGAAGGAGAAGTAACTTGACCCAGGATGCCTGTCGGGTAGAAGCAAAATGAAGACAGAGGCTTTGCCACAGATCCAGGCTCACTAGGAGGGATCAATGGGACTGTTCGTCCTGAAATGAGGTGCTCAGTCCATCACCTGGAAAAAGGAAGTCATGGGCGCATAGAAGGGCCTTGAAACTGGGGGGAGGCGTTGCATGGGGGACAGAAGGCGGGTCTGGGAACTGGTGCAAACTGGCTGGTGTCTGGTGGTGGTAGAAACAGGTGAGGGGTAGATGGGACCTGGGGGCTTTCTTTGAGCCTCACTGAAGCCCCATTTTAGGTTCAGGGAGCCAAAGTCCCCCCCTTCCCCACCAGACCCCAGCAGTGGGTAACAAGAGCCTAAGGAACCAGCCAGATGTTCCCACGTAAGAACAGAATAGGGAGCACCAAGAGGATGGTATCCAGGCTCTGTGTGTGCACCTGAGCCCACCAGCCAGCTCGGTCTGCCAAAGCACTGGTTCAGGGCAGGAGCATCTGGCTCCTGCATAAGGCGACCACTGTGTGAGCCTTCACTGGGTGTCAGGCTGTACTCAGCTCTGAGGGATTATTTTCTTTGGATCTCACAATGGGCTTACGAGGTAAGGGTACATTTCACAAACGGGTTGTAAAAGGAATGGTCATAGAGGTTAAGTACCTGACCCAAGGTCACACAGCTAGCAAGGATGTGAAGCCAGGAAGTTTAAAAATGAGAGCCTGTGCTAACCACTGCCCATACCACCCTTTCCCTGGGCTTGCTGTTTGAGTGCATGGCGCATGTGCCTGTCAGTGCGTGTGCGAATGTGCAGGGCAGGTATCACCCTCAGATGGCCACTGTGTCACCCCTACCTCTCCTGGGGGGGGGACGGGGGGCTGGTGGTGCAGCGCCAGATTCCAATTCACAGAATAATCCCCGGGCGCCTGATTCTTGGGGTGTGGTGGCGGCCACATCAGGGTTTATCCCTCAGCCCCACCGCGGAGAAAGCCTCCAGCCTCCCTGCCCCAACCGCAAATCCTCTAATGGGCTGGGAGCCTCCCAGGTGTGTGGGCAGCCTGGCCGGGCTGCTTTCCCTGTGCCAGCAGGGGCCCGAGGCCCACCGGAGGCCCCGCCTCACCAGCCCACCCGTGCCCGATCAGGCTGCACCCCACACTCGCCTCGATGTCCTTGACATTGTGCATGAGCTGGTAGGCAATGTCCTTGCAGCCCTGGCTCAGGGCCTCCGGGGGCATCTCGTTGTCCGAGTACCAGTCGCGGTCAGCAGAGTGGGCGTAGGCGGCACTGGGGGTGGCGTGGTTCACTCTCGTGGTGGTCACGATGCCCACAGATTTGCCTGGTGTGCGGGAGAGGACAGGTGGGCTTCATCTGGGGACAGGGGCATCCCAGCTGTCTTCCCCCCCTCTCCTGACTAAAGGCTGGCCTTCTGTTAGTTCAACTGACTGCCTGGGCCTCAGTCTCCCCACCAGTACTGAATGAAGGGGTTGGGAGGGGGAGTGGTGGCTTCCGAATATCTGGGCAGCACAGCTCAGTCTGCATCTGTGACCCGCCCCTTCTTGAGGGCACTTGAGCTGTGAGCAAATGGGCCGGAATCCTCCCTTCTATCATGCACCCCGCGGAACCCCCTCCTGCAGGATGGCCTCCGGGTCCCCTGCAAGAACACAGGGGCTCTCCTAGGAGCCCTCAGGTGGTGTGGCTCTGTCACTTTCTCAGTCAACCTTATACTCTGACCCCAGAGTTCCTTTTTTTTTTTTTAATTTTTTTAAAAATGTGTTTGTGTGTGAGAGAAAGAGACAGCATGAGCAGGGGAGAGTCAGAGAGAGAGGGAGACACAGAATCTGAAGGAGGCTCCAGGCTCTGAGCTAACTGTCAGCACAGAGCCCAAAGCGGGGTTTGAACCCACGAACCATGAGATCATGACCTGAGCCAAAGTTGGACGCTCAACCGACTGAGCCACCCAGGCGCCACCCCCCAGAGTTCCTGCGACATGGGCCAGGGCCTCCCCCAGCTCCAGGGAGGAAGGGAGGAGTAGACACTAAACTCCCACCAGGCTAAGTCCCTTACTTTCATCACACCAGATGTATAAGGGGCGAGGTTTTCATGTGCATTTTATAGTCAAATAAATAGACTCAGGAAAAGGAGCCAAGACCAGACCCCACAGCTGAGTAACCCCCTGAAGCCACTAGCCCACCCTGTCATGGAAGGGATCCCGTAAACATCTCACAGACGCTGAGACATTGGAGCTGGAAGAGCCCCTGGAGACCATCTTTCTCTGCCCTCTCCCCATTATACAGTGGGGCAGACTGAGGCCCAGACAGAGCCAGGCCCCATTCCCTGCCACTACCCCTACTCACCAGCGTCCTTGGCCCAGCGTAGGATGGAGGTGACCTCGTTCCCCTGAGTTGTGTTGCACTGGGTTCGCTGGGTGGCTGCACTCACCCCCACAGTGCCCTCATTGGCCTTGACCCCACACAAGTAGGCAGTGGCAGTGCCTGCACTGTCAGGGACCTGAGCGTTGGTGTTGTATGTCTGCGGATGGGAAAGCAGAGTCAGGAGTTGGCCAGACCTTGCTGGTGGCCTTCATCTCACCCCCAATCACACCATGGGGACTGGGGCATGATGGAGACAGAGAGGCCTCCTATGGCCTTGGCTGAGCCCTGCTTCCTATGGAGGTCCCCCAGAGCCGTAGTGTCACCTAGCTGCCTGCTTCCTGCCCCCACTCCTTGTGCCCTGGCAGCCAGGGCAGCAGGAAGGGGTGAATACAACCCTCCAACATACAGAGAAGTGGGGGCTGGGTCACTCAGGCCTCTGTCTGGGTCTGGGGCTATGGGAGCCAGCAAGGGAGAGAGGAAGCAGGTAAGTCCCAGAGCAAGGGGGGTGGGTGCGAGGGGAGGACGAGGGGCAGGGTGGCAACTCACCTAAAAAAGTGAGGTGGCAGAAATTGGGGGAAAGGCAGGGAAGGGAACAGAAGCAGGATCTAGAATGGGGACATGGGGAAGAGCTCCCCTCCCCCATTCAGACCTCTAGCTGAGATCCTGAAACTCTTTGCCTGTCTTCCTTCCCACCAGCCTGAGAGCCACAGAAAACATTCCAGTCCCTGCCATTCCCCCAGCAGTGAGCCCCGGGCCTGACCCAGAGGGTCCAGGGGATCTTTACTACAGTGCCACCAGCACCGCCACCTACGACCCCAGCAACAAGAGCCAGAGTTGGTAATCTAATTCACTTCCAGAGGCGCGGGCGGAGGGGGGAAGGGAGAATGAACACAACGGACCCGGCGCAGAAGCATATGAACTGTGCGATTCCTCTGTGGTGTTGGAAGTCAGTGGGGTCAGAGGGGACAAGGGACTGGAGGAGGGCTGGGGAACTGCTGGCTGCTGTCATGTTCAATTTCTCAGCCTGGACGCTCGTCATACAGACACGGGCACGCGCGTGCGCACTTTCTTCTGGGCGCTTCATTCTTTAATCAGTTTTTAAATCAATGACTAAAACCCTCAAAATAAAGTCTTGGGAAGCAGCTCTGCCACCCCCATTCCCCAGGGGGGCCATGGAGACCCCAGGAGGGCGGATTCCCTTGCCTGCAGGGCTTGATTCCCCTGCCCTTCCTCGGTGCTGCGGGCCCGGGCGGAGCTCACCTTGGAGAGGGCCACGAAAGGGAACTTGTCCATCTCCAGCCTGGTCTCCTCCCCGGGACTGTGGTGGAGCTGACCCTTGAGGATGCGGGTGGCCGTCACCGTGGAAACACCCATCCCTGTGTCAGGGGAAGGGATGGAGGGGATCAGTCTCTCTCTCCGGCCACCTGCCTCTGCATCTCTGGCACCTATAGTTCTCTAGTTTTGCCAGGGCTGGCTGGGCAGTGGGCACCGGGGCATGGCTCTGTAAATGAGACCGCGGGGCCCCTTTTTCCCTTCCCTCCCCAGACCCTCAGAGACTGCCTGGCAGAGCAGACCTCTTGGGTCCCCAGCCTGGACCCCCATCCTCCTAAACATGCTTCCCGGGGCCCCAGCCTCTTCTATACAGTGTGGCTCCCTGGGCCCTTCCCTCGGTGCCCCCACCCGGCCCTCTCCTTTGGGCCCCCAGGCCTCACCATCTCCCAGGAACATGATGATATTCTTAGCCACGTTGGTGTTGAGCTTCTGAAGTCTTAGGGCATTTCTGAGGGTCTGCTGAGCTTGGTCTCTCCAGTACTTGGGGTCTTTCTCTTTCTCTGCATAGACAGAGAGGCAGAGTTATCTGGCAAGGATGGGGGGCGGCTTCCCATCCTCAGACCTTACAGACCCCCCAGCTTCTCGTGCCTGAGGGCAGGGCTGCCTGGCCTGGGTGGGGGGGGGGACAGCAGCCACCATGTGGCTGGTCGACATTTGCCAGTCCTACCCTCCAAACAAGCCTGTGGGCCCTGGGCCTTCTCTGCACGTCTCAGACTGAAGAAACCGAGGCACAGAGATGCCAACCAACTTGCCCAAGGCCACACAGCTCTGGCTCCACTCTCCGAAACTCACGCTGTCGCCTGCCTTCCAGCCAATAGAGATATTCTGCTAAGGTAGCAAATGGATTGTGCAAGCACAATCAGGAAGGAGGCTAATGTTTAATCTGTCCAAGAGAACAAACTACTTTCACCTGAAGGAGTCCCCAGATGTACTCAGCATCAATTATCAACCCCACTTGGCTTATTCATTAAAGTCGGCAGAAACCTGAGTTAGCAACAGCATTGATGGCAGTACTGGAAAGCAGTCCTTGCCTTCTGTTTAATGAATCAAATTTAAAGCAGCCACGCACAAATCTCATTCCTGTTAGCAAAGAGGATGTTCTGTGTCCCTGACCTTGAGAAAAACCGGGAACCAGGAATGGTCTTCTCTGCCCTCCCGCCTCTCCGCCTATGTGTCCAGTAGTCAGCTCTCCAATGGAAAGAACACAACAGTAGTGCCCAACAGGCCTCCACTGAAACCACAGCTATGCCAAGTACCCCCGTGTGGCAAGTCACCTCCCTGAGCCCCCATTTCCTTCCTTGTTAGATGTGGTTCTTTGTCTATTCCCTCTCAGGGTCACCAGGAGGACTGGATTCAATCAACTGATTTCCTGACCCCCAGGAGATCAACATTCCCCACCCCCACCAATTCCATGCCAGACCTGGGACCCCCCCTTTTTTTCCTTTTAAGTTTATTTTTATTTTATTAAAAAAATTTTTAAATGTGTTATTTATTTCCGAGAGAGACAGAGGGAGACAGTGCGGGCAGGGGAGGCTCAGAGAGAGGGAGGCACAGAATCAGAAACAGGCTCCAGGCTCTGAACTGTCAGCACAGAGCCCGACGCGGGGCTTGAACCCACGAAGTGTGAGATCATGACCTGAGCCGAAGTCGGACGCTTAAGCGACTGAGCCACCCAGGCATCCCTTAAGTTTATTTTTATTTATTTTGAGAGAGAGATAGAGAGCAAGCGGGGAGGGCAGAGAGAGAGGGAGACAGAATCCCAAGCAGGCTTCATGCTGTCAGCACAGAGCCCGACACGGGGTTCAGTCTCAGGAACCATGAGATCATGACATGAGCCAAAGCCAAGAGTCAGGCGCCCCGTGGAATATCTTTCTCTTGCAAGCAGAGGCCCAGGAACTGAGCCCACCTACCTCCTCACCATGGCAGCCTCCAGTGCTGCCGCTCTTCCGAAAATGTCTGCCAAGCTCACCAATTTCAGACGCCACAGGCGGAGCCCCCAGCTGGAGTCTGGAGAGCCTCGGCCCTTCTACCCAGCTGTATATCTTTAGGCAAGTTCTCCCCCTCTGACTTTCTGCCCCCCAGGAAAACGGGAGGGCATAGGCAGTTTTAGGACTGAGATGACATCTCAACAAATGCCAGAGCCAGTGGTTTTGATCGGGGATCCCGCTGGCTCAGGGCTGGCTCCCTTCTCCTGCCTGCCTCCCTCCATGCCCACCACAGTGGCAAGGCTTTGGTTAAGGAGCTTCTTTGGCCATTTGGGTGCCATCTGGGTGGTGATGAACTTCTTGCTGTCCTGATTTTCCTGTAACCAGGCCCTCCCTGCCCTTCCCCTTGTCCAACAGTCTGGCAGACCCCCAGTGGCTAGACTGGCATCGAAGTGCTCTGCACCTCTTCCTTCATCTTGACTCAAGCTCTGATCCCGGTTTGCCAGTTTCCCCGCTATGGCTGGTCCCTGTGAGACTGAGAGACTTGTCTTTTTCACCAGAGCCACTCCAGGGCCTGACCCTGAGAAGGGTTTAGTGGAGGTCAGACCAACTTCATTGTCAGAGGACTGACTTAAGCAATCATGGCTTTGGACAACCAAACATCAAAAGGTCATTGTTTTTGGAGAACATTAAATGACACGCACAAATGCTCAGAATATAATGCCATGCGAAGAGTGCTTGTCGATGCATACTGTGTAATTCCATTCACGTGAAGTTTAAAACAGGTAGAACTCCTCTATGGTGGCAGGAGTGAGCCTATGTCACTTCCTTTGGCTTGGAGGGTGGGGTTGGTTGGGGAGCACACAGGAAAGCCCAGACGTTCTGTCTTAATCTGGGTGGTGGTTACAAGAGCATTAAATATGTAAAAACTCATCAAGCCATACATCTGAAATTGGTGCACTTTCCTGTAAGTTATACCTAATTTTAAAAACAGAGAGAGGACAATGCAACACCACTGCACACACACCCATCAGAATGGCTAAAAAGGAACAAATACAAAAGATCGAATTGCTGAATATTTGAAGAGTTTTCATTTTGTCACTTGTTCATCTTTCCACCTCTCATGCATCTGTGTACCTTTCACCCAGGTGGGTTGTGAGTGTGGAGAAAGAAGGGACTTGGTCCCAAGCCACCGCTGGTCCCCAAGGATACATCGTGAAAGGCCTCATGGGATCGCAGAGGGGGTGAAGGCTTGGGGATCCAGCAGCTCTCGGTTCTATCCCTAGCTCTGACTCTCTCCCTAGGAAGGGCCAGTCCCTTCCCTGCACCCTAATTTCCTCATCTGTTGAAAATATTCTTGGGGCACCTGAGTGGGTCTGTTGGTTAAGCGTCCGACTTCAGCTCAGGTCATGATCTTGTGGTTCGTGGGTTGGAGCCCCGCGTCGGGCTCTGTACTGACAGCTTGGAGCCTGGAGCCTGGAGCCTGCTTCGGATTCTGTGTCTCCCTCTCTCTCTGCCCCTGCCCCTTCTCAAAAGAAGAAAATATTCTTCCTAAGAGCACTCACTCCCTGCCTAACACTGACTGTACCGTGTGATTCTTACAACAGACATAAGGATAAGAAATTACTGTCTCCACCGGGCAGAAGGAGACACTAAGATTCTGGGAGGGCAACAAGGAACTTCAAGCTGCATAATGGACCGAGCCAGGGTGGGCTCCCTTCTCCCACTTGGGGCTGCTGAGCGGCCCTGGGGTGCCCGACCAGATACAGGCCTAGGTTGGTAGCGTGTGCGTATTACCTTGGAGCCACGGAAGGGATGGAGAAAGAAAGCCAGTCTTAGAAATGTGGACACCACTCCAGATCTGAGCCTGGAGTGGGGGCCAAACTCAAAACTGAGGAATTAACACAAAAGCTTGTCGAGAATTAGCTGAAGAATCCAACATAGCACCGCACCACTTCCGGGTTAGTCTCCAATAGCAAACAGAAAACAAAACTATCAAATTCACCAGCAAAAATTACAAACCACAAGGAAACGTATCACCATGAGGGTGAGTGAAAAAGACAAAGCCAACAGGAGACTTAACATCCTAAGACTTGGAATACTTTATGCCCCAATGAAGGAAGAGGATAATATAAAAAGAAAAAAGAGTGGCCTGTCCAACATTGGGACACGCAGTAGCAGATCTGGGGGCTCCTGCTCTGTGAACACTTGTCTGTGGCTGCTAATTAACCTGGATAGTTCTGTGACCCTCAACATAGACATTGCCCTCATCCTATCCCACCCGCACCAGGTTTCCCCACCCTTCCGCCCGGTCCGCCATCCTACCTGGCACTAAGGAGCTGGTGAGGCAGGTGCCAATGGCCAGCACTAAGAATGGAGAAATCATGGTGCACTCCAAGATCTGCTTTCTCTCTTGGGCCCAGAGGTATGACCAACGTGGGTGGGAGGGGATGGGCTGGCAGTGGTCAGATGTTAACCGATGTTCCAATCCTAGAAATTAAAAGGAAAATAAAAAGACACGTGGGCCACAGCTCCCCAGTTCATTTGTCCATCGACTCATACATTCATTATTTGTTGTGCATTCATTCAGTATTTGTTGTGCATTCATTCAGTATTTGTTGAGCACTGATCACTAGCCTGGCACAGAGCTGGGTACTAGGCTGTAAACACCGATAGTCCCTCCCTCAGAAGCTTAACCCCATACAGCTGCGTATGTATAATACACACGTTCCATGTGGCAAAATGGTTCCTTCCCCATTTTCCAGGTGAACGCCCACTTTCAGTCCATCTGGAGCCTGGAACCCACCAGAGTTCAGTCCTTCTGTGTAGGGCTGTCCAAAACGCATGCTGCATTGTGGGCTCTTAGAGGGCTTGTTAAAATAGACCCAGCATCCACCTGCCCTCGCCCAGACTCAGTGCATTTCCAACAAGCGCCCAGGTCCCTGGTCTGAACCAGTCTTTAGTCTTTTAATTACCTATGTCCCAAGCACACTGAAGACACAATAGGGCTCACCCTTTTTTACAGAGAGAACTGCACTTGCCACATTCTCTTCTAGAGCTTGTCATTTATGGTGAGAGATATAAAAGGTATAGAACTGAGGTACAGGAAGATTGGCTGCTAAGGGCACCCATTTCTGGGTGGTGACATTTCAGATGGCCCCATTGCTTTTTCATTGTCTTTTCTATGTTTCCCAAATAAAGATGTTACCTTTATGATAAAAAAAATAAAAAAAAATAAATAAAACCGTTACACACATACACACACACACTAGAAGGAAATACAGCAAAACATTAACTGTGGTTTTCTCTGGGCAGTAAGACTAGGAATGATTATTTCCTCTTCTCTTTTATTATTATTTTTTTGAATTGTCCAAATTGCCTAAAATAAGCATGTATGAAATGGCACAAGAAAAGTTTTTGAATTGTGGTCATAGTGTCAGGATCACAAGGGATAACCCCAATTGCAGCTGAGAAATGTACTAACCCCGTTGTGCATAAATGTTCCTGGAAGAGAAGAAATTTTAAATGGCAGAGAGTTTCACAGGAAAATACTACTTCCACCAAGACCCAGATAACAATGATTATTCCATTTGTCATGGGCAACGGCGGCCACGCTTAACACTGTACCGTTGAGTGTCACAGAAGATAAGAAACCACTCTGCCCCTAAAAAGGAGGATCTTGATTCAATCTTAAAAATGTGCACCCTGCATTTCAGTGCCCAGAGGTGAGGGCTCACTGGTACCCCACCAGCAAAACACCCAGCAGTCACCAAATGTGCCATTCAATTGCACCCCTATGCTTTACCACCACTCTTCCACATCCGTCTGGCTCCCTTAAAACCCCAGCTTGATGGGGTAACAGTGGGGCAGGCGGGAATTGAAAGGAAATACTCTACATCTGACATCTACCAGCACTCAACTCTGAGGTGGGATTTCAGATGATTTCAAACTTTTTTTTTTAACTTTTTAATATTTATTTATTTTTGAGACATAGAGACAGCACAAGTTGGGGAGGGGCAGAGAGAGGGAGGGAGACACAGAATTGGAAGCAGGCTCCAGGCTCGGAGCTGTCAGCACGGAGCCTAATGCAGGGCTTGAACCCACAAACCGTGAGATCTTGACCTGGGCCAAAGTCAGATGCTTAACCAACTGAGCCACCCAGGGGCTCCCCGATTTCTATTCTTTGTTTTCAAGTGTTTTGAGAGTAAACCCTAACATCAGAAAAGCATGTTAGTAAATTGATATACAGTATCAGGGCACGTGGGTGGCTCAGTCAGATAAGCCTCCTGACTCTTGGTTTTGCCCCAGGTCACGATGTCACACTTTCTGAGACGGAGCCCTGCATGGGGCTCTGCACTGACTGCTTGGGGATTCTCTCCCTCTCTCTGCCCCTCCCCGACTCACATGTGCTCTCTCAAAATAAATAAACTTTAAAAAATTATCATACAATATCAATACATTGCAATATCATTCCAAATAGCTTAAAAACCAAAGTCCTCTTCTTTCAGGAAGACTTCAGGATGGCCACTCACTCCAGTCTGCTACCTCTGAACTTCCTATCACTCCAATCATTGTGTGTAGGTACCTGTTTTGAAAGTAATTCTTCTCTGGTAATTCCATCTCCGTCACCACAATGGGAGTTCCTAAGGGCAGGGACTTTGCCTTGTTTGTTCATACTCCAGTGCTTGACACAGTAAATATTGACATCATTTGAAAGCTAATGCTCTAAGGAGGGGGGTAGGGGGAAGGGAAGAATCACCACCAAATCCTTCCTTTGTGTGTGCAGAAAATGCAAGTGTTGGCAAGGAGATGGTATTACTAGAGCAACCACTCGCTGCTGGAGGAGTATACACTGGTACAGCCACTTTGGAAAACTGACACCAGGACACCTGGGTGGCTCAGTCAGTGAAGCGTCCGACTTTGGCCTAGGTCACGATCATGCCGTTCCCGAGTTCGAGCCCTGCGTCGGGCTCTGTGTGTTGACAGCTCAGAGGCTGGAGCCTGTTTCAGATTCTGTGTCCCTCTCTCTCTCTGCCCTTCCCCCACTTGTGCGGTCTCTATGTCTCAAAAATAAACATTAAGAAAAAGAAAACCAACAGCATCTACAAAGGTTGACACTGTACGTATGTCCTCTGATCCACTTACCTCCAACAGAGATACACACACACACACACACACACACACGTTCACCAAAAGACATCTATGAGAACATTCCCACCAGCCCTGCTTGTAATGGCCTCAGGACTGCTCCATCCTCAGCAGGATGGATAAATACGTTACGTGGGTTCACAGGATGGAAAACTAGACAACAGTGAGTATGGACAAATACAACATCTTGCAAAGGGAAGGTTGAATGAAGGAAGCCGATCCGAGAGCACATAAGTGTGAGTCCCACGACAAAGTATAAAGACAAGCTAGGTGTTAGAAGACAAGATAAAAGTTACACTTGGGGGTGTGGAGACTGGAGGGGGCACAGAGGACTTGTGACTGATCTGTGAATGAGTTACATGGGTGGATTCCATCTGAAAACCCAATACACTGTCAATGTATGATAAGGACACTTTTCTGTATGAGTGTATACTATACTTCAATAAGAATGCTACTCTGAGAATGTACATAAATGACCTATAAATAATCTATAAACACGGACAACATGAAAATGACCTGTGTACTGCACTTCATTGTTTATAATGACTTTCACCATGATTTCTCCCTAATAACCTATGGAGTGGACTGAGGGAGTCTGTGGTCTCCTTTTTTATTACTGTTATTATTATTTGCTATCATCTCCTTTGTGAAAAAAATCAAGGCTCATGATAGCACACCATGCACTGAGAAATAGGACTTAATTCTCTCTACATCCAATACAAACAAGAAAATACAGAAAACTAAAGGTGAAGGGTGGCCCCGGGAGATCTCAAGAGCTCATCCAGCCTGCGTGATTATTCTTATTTCTCTTCTGTTAGCCTGATGCTCTGCGAGAGTAAACACCATCTCCCCATCTTTGACTCCCCAACCCTGCGCACCTCGAAGCAGCTCTGTAAATGCTAACTTCAGGATTCAGGCTAGAATGCTCTGGAATTTGGGTCCCATGAATGTGGTCTTTAGGCCCACCCCGCCCCTCCCCCTTCCTAGAGACAGACAGGTGCCTTCTCCCACTGCCACTGCCCGGAAAGGGGAGGGGGCTGGAGTCTAGGAAACCCTTCAGAAGCCAAAGTCCGCTCTGCTGGGTCCCCCCCTTAGCCCTCCCCCACCCAGAGTCTCTAAGGCTGCTCTCTCACCGCCATGGTGATGGACTCCGTGGGGCCCAGCCTAGGGTTGCAGAGGCCCGAGCTGCCCACCACCCTCTGCCAATGCTCTGCAAGCTCAGAATGCAGCCTCCTCCGAGTGTGTGCCAGCCCCACTGCCCCCCCACCTCCCAGCTACATGCCCTGATTATTCATGACAATTATGCAGAAGTCCTGACTGCGCTCTGGCCCTCGGAGAAGGAGTGGCTACTTGGCAGGTCAGGAGGGAGCAGAGGGGAGGGGCCTGGGCCCTGAGTACTGACTCAGTATCCTGGGGCAGAGGACATGGGAGTCCCTAGGGGTCAGGAAAAAGCCAATCCTGGGCGGCTAGGTCTCAAAAGGTCCAAGACAATTGATAGATAAAAATCACTAGCTTTCCTTGGGCACACATGTTGTGCGGAACACTGTGCTAACTGTTGACATCTGTGATTTTACTTAATCCTCACGGCGAGTATTGTTAGCCCGCTTTACAGTTTAGGAAATCGAGCAAAGGATCTCAGCGAGTCCGTGGCCAAGTGCAATTCAATCCCAGGCTGGCTCAGCCTCTCTGGGCCTCAGTTTCCCCATCACGGAGGAAGAGAGAGACCAGTGCCTGCCCGCCCTTTATTCCACAAGAACAAACAGTAGACAGACGGGCAGGAGATCTGGCAGGGGAGGGAATCGGGCCCCGGTGAGTTCTCCTACCTGAGGGGCCTGGCCAGGCGACAGGTGAAAAAGAAGAGCAGGCTCAAGGTCAGCATCAGGAGGAGGAAGCTGAGGACCGCCGTGAGGACGGTGTCCAGGGTGGGGGATAGAAGGGTCATCTTGAGGCAAAGAGGGCCCTTCTGTACCCTGTACACACCTGGTCACACTAGCCTTGGATGCTCGCTCCAAAGCCCTGGGTCAGTGGCTGTGACCTGGCCTTGTTCCCTGGGGTTAATCTTTGGGGATTAGCCCAGGAGGGATGAAACAGGAGTGGGGAAGAGCCCATGAGGCTCCCCTCCCCCAAGCCAGGCCTTCCCCATCTGATGCCTGTTCAACTTGGTTCATCCATTCTTCATTCCCAAACATTTAGTGAGCACCTGCTGTGTACCTGGCTCTGTTCTAAGTACTAAGGACTCACTGGGGGAACAGGATAGATATGGTCTCTATCATCTTGGAGATTCCTGACCGAATAGGGTAGAAAAAGCACTTACTATGTACCAGCCATTGTGCTGGGCACCC